GATTATTTTCATTGTTATTTAGTCATGATTATGACTTGAAAATGATCTCTTTGGAAGAGGTAGTGGGTACAGCTTTAAAACAATAGGAGTTTGAACTTGAGTTCAGAATGCTGTTAGTGTCAGGGTGGTTTCATTGAAGAACTGTCTTGTGTGAAGTCAGAGACTCTTAAGTTAGGTAGTTCAGGAGACAAAATGGAGTTTGGAGGAAAAGTCAAGATACTACAGAGGCCCAGATTATGGTGTTCAGCAGTGTTTTCTGGCTGTACAGCATGTGCAGAAGTGATACATTTAGTAGAAGTCATACTTTTAAAATTGCAACTTATTTTCTTTAAAAAATAAACATTGGAGATGAAAATCAGGGCTTAGGCATGTTAGGTAAGACCTTTACCACTGAGCTATAGCTGCAGATTTTTAAAATTTACTATTTTCTTTGGTCAGTCGGAGGACCATACCAGTACCATTTCCATCCCACTGTGCCACCAGCAGCCCAGACAACCAGTGCTTTTCAGGGCACTTCTAAAATGAGCTGGTGGGTTAGGTGCGTTCAGTGCAATTGCATTATGGTTCCTTTTTCTTAATAGGTTTATCACAGTTGTACATTGATGACACAATTTCATAAAAAGTATGGGAATCAGGGCCTAAGATCTTGTACCAGCCAGTTTTATGTCACCTTGGCACAGGCTAACGTCATCTGAGAGGAGAGAACCTCAATTAAGAAAGCACCTCCCTAAGATTAGGCTGTAGGCAAGACTGTAGGGCATTTTCTTAATTAATGATTGATGAGAGAGGGTCCAGCCCATTGTGGGTGATGCCATCCCTGGGCTGGTGGTCCTGGGTTCTATAAGAAAGCTGGCTGAACAAGCCATGGTGAGCAAGCCAATAAGCTGCACCCCTCCATGGCCTCTGCATCAGCTCCTGCCTCCAGGATCCTGCTCTGTTTGATTTTCTGCTCTGACTTCCCCCAGTAATGGAAGTGTAAGCTGAACTTACACTTTCCTCCCTGAGTTGCTTTTGGTCATGGTATTTCATCACAACAATAGTAGCCCTCATTAAGACAGATGTAAAGAACATCAGACAGTCTTTATGCAGGGTATAGTAAAATGTAGGTCAAATAATTCCTGGCTTTAAGACAGAATGCATTTTTATTTTGGGCTACTAGCAGTAGACACTGGAGTGAATCTTCTCATATCTCCACAATAGATAACTTGAATTAAGGGTATTTTAGAATATTCCTGCATTCTTGGGCCCTGTTTTGGGCAGTAAGTTCTATCAAGGGAGTATAACATAGTCAGCTATAAGCTGTAGTGTAGTACCTAGCCACAAGTGTTTGAAGAATTTTATTTATGTGAAAAACTGAAAACCTGGGAATTCCTTAGACAATAATAATGAAAATAGTAAAGTTTAACAGACAAAGCTAGAGAGACCAAGGATTACCACAGAGAGAAAAATGGCTTGCTGGCAGTATTTTAAGAAACTTTGGTTATTGTATGAAAGCTACTTATTAAAGTGCTCTTCATAATTCTCACTGGTGTCCACATTTGGTAAAAGGTTAAGTTGAGGAATTGTGAGATCATAGGGAAAAAAGAACAAGTCACAGGAAAAAACAGCGTAGTTTTTTCATCTTTAAAGATCGCCTAGGGTATACTCTGGACGACAATTGTCCCACTTTCTTGAGTCATAGAAGATTCCTGGTAGGAAATACCAATTCTATGTGAGTCAAGTTTTACACATTAGACATGGTGTTTGTGAGTGTCCCCTTGTTGTGTCTGTGGCCTACTTCACCCTGGCGGAGTTGCAGCCCCCAGTCTTCACTCAGAACACCCTTCCTCATCACATTCGTATTTTCTTCTTCACAGGATGGAATCACAGGCAGGCTATGGCAGCCCGGTTCTTAGTCAAAGTGACTCTGACCCTTCAGTTTTTCGTTTGGTTGTCTTGCACGGCTCATGTAAATACAGAGACACTGAAAATATCATTGTCGTTTCTTTGACAGAGGTAAACAGTTGCTGAGTCGGTGTGGCAGTCATTTGCCTTTGTTTCTGCCTAGAAGAAGTAAATGAGAATGAACAGGCTAGGGGCCAGAATTCGAAATTAACGATTTTTTTTGAAAGGAAAACAATACACATATTAAAATATGGATACTTGACTATATGGATCTTTTCACTGTAATAGCTTAGAAGTACCCCTTTGTTACTAGGTACCATACTTACTGTTTGAGCTCCATTCTTTCAACATATTCAAGAGAACCAGTGGCTTAGGTACATTTAAAATTACGTTAAAGTCTGAAATGTATTCTTTTAAACTATAGTTTCTCTACTCCAGTTCCGTTTACTTACTCTGACTGAACATGTTCCATGGTAGATGTCAAAAAATTCTTCTACACTGTGGAATGCAAAGAAGAGGTTTTTAGTTTCCACAAGAATGCATAATTGGTGCAGCCTGGTTCTGTAATTCTCAGAGGAACTGGAGTTCTAACTTGTTCTGGCCCCTTGTGATGAATCATGGGTTTAGGGGGCTGCCTGGGAGATTTGGTCCCCCTTCTTTCTAACTCTGACCTCCAACGTGGAAGAGGCTCCCAAAGAAGAGCCATTTGCTGTGTGTGGGAAGACGCTTCAGTCATTGTTGAATGCCTCACAGGAAGTACATAGTTTTGTGGCTGTTTTAGGTGAATGACATGTTCCAGGTAAAAGATGTAGAGATTGTGGGTATCACGTTTCCCAGCAAGTCTGAACACACTGCACTGGGGTGGGGGAGGGAGGTGCAGGTAAAACTTCCTTCTGAGCTCCTGGGCAGCACAAGGAAGCCAGTGTCTGATCCATGACGGGAACCATAGCAACACATTCTGAGACCTCCTGGGCTTGCTCTTTATTCTGCCTATCCCTCAAGAGTCTTGCCCTCTGTCTAGGATCAGAATATCTTAAGAAATACTGATGAACATGAATAGAAAAGGTATTCATTCTCCTGGGAACACAAATACAGCCATAAACATGGCATAGCCAGTTTTGGTTTTGTTTATTAAATCATTGGAGCAGTGAGGCATTGGATACCTTCAAGCACTGGATATTTTAATATGTAAGTTGGTTCAGGACCTGCCAGTTGTAATTCAGCTTTTTATTAAATATTGACTCTCGTGAGGTATACATTGAATTAGAGCTTTATAAGATAGTTCATTTCCTGTCCATTTCTTCATGAAAATTTGGCCCTCTTGAGAGAAATACATTAAGCCTAATCTCATTTTAGTGGCAACTTTTATGTATTGTTTTGGAGAAACAATATACACCCAGGTATGGTGGGACATGGCTGTAATTTCAAAGCTCTGGGACTGAGGCAGAATATTTACCAGTTCTAGGTCAGCCTAGGTTGTATAGTGAGACCTTGTCTCAAAACAAACAAACAAACAAACAAACAAACAAACAAACAAACAAAACAAACAAGCAAACAACACCCAGCAGCAGCAACAACTATTAAACAAATTTGTGCGACCTCTGCCTGATTTGTCTTACTAAATAACCCTGATAACACTATTCAGTATAAAATCTTTTTCAAGTTCCCTGTGGGAAAGATTCTGGTTGAAATTTCCAAGTTGGAAATTAGGCATAATGCACTGGGATGTGGTCTAGGCACTGCTCCCGTTGATAAATGGCAATTATTTTATAGCCTGTCACTCTTGATTTACGATGAAACACAATTTATCTGATCATGTGTAATTCCTGTTGTCCTAGAAATTTTAGAATATTTTTTATCAGCTGTAAAAGTAATGTCTATATCTTCTTTCATAAATTAAGAATTATAAAGTTTGGCAGAAAACTATTCTTTGGGTCAGAGATAATTTTATCTCTATTAGTGATTGGATATTTTTTGACAGGACAAGATTACCCGATATACTTCACATAATATGAGCATTCAACACATATTCATTAACTCCCCATCAGTTCCAAATACTCTGCAGTGAACTGTTAGTAGAACCTATTGAAGTTCAGTGCACTGTGAAACATACATCTGTCCGGATTTTACTCTTTTCCTTATAAAGCCTGTACTGAGACTCATCTATGAACTTTCTTTTAACCTTTGAGAAGCTCCTGCTCTTTTGTCTTCTCCCCACAACTTGAACCCCAAAGGTAACACATCTGATGTTCTCTGGCATTTTTCGTTGGTTCTAAACTCATGCCCTTCACATTTCAAGAAGCATATTGTAGATCTACCCTAGAGTAGTGATCAAGAAGTTGCTCCAATCTATGTTCTTATGGTAACTGGTATAATAAAAGTAATAGCATGATTTAAAAAATTATACAGCAGCTTCCAGGACATTTTCCCATTGGCTCTTGTAACGGTCTTATTCAGTACTGATGTCATCAGTACTAATATCAGAGGTCTTTCAATAGAGCAGAGATGTACTTTCTGGAAAGGCATCTTTTCGTGCATATTTGCTCTGTGAGTATTAGCCACTCCCTTTCAAGTTAAATGAAACTTGTCTGATTGACAGGATGCAGTTTGGTTGGCTGCAAGTACCTGTGAGAAAGTAAAATCCAGATTCTCCCCGTTGCATTGGTAGATGTTTTGCAGAGTCTGGATCTGGGTACCCAGTAGGCACGAGTGTCCCAGTTCCACCCAACTCGTTACACACATGCACATGTGAACTACCACCAAGGCTTTCTTTAGTTTCTTGGCTGTGGTGGACATTGAATCTGCAACCTTAAGCAACTTGCGAAAGTGCTCACAACAGTAGTGTTGCCTTATTTTGTATCTCAGCCATTTTTATGTTTTATGACTAATAATCATGGAACTGAGTACTTTATATCAGTGCGGGAAGAAATCAACAAGGCAGAGGCATTACTTAATTTTTTTTTAAGAAATTACAACTCTTTGACAGTTTCATTTATGTATATAATGGATTTTTAAAATTTCACCCCCATCTCATTCCCTGTCTCATCTCCCTTCTTTGCATTATATCAAGCACATCTGTTTTATTACCTCATCTATTTAATATTTTCCTTTTATAGGTCACTGAGATGATTCTGGAAATGTCTCTTGAAGTTTGGTAAGTTCATTTATTTAATCAGATGAAGAATATTGGAAGTGATATTGTTAAAGAGAATACTTTATGTGTGAAATATTTCCTGAAGCTTTGAATACATAGCAATGTCATAATAGTCACCTTCACTCACTTACAAAATCCAAAAAGCAGAGTTGTAATATTTTCTTACTTTTCCAGTAGTTTGGAAGCTGGATTATAGTTGTTAGAATAAGTGCTTGCTTTCAAGGGCTCTTCTTCTAGTAACATATCTATTCCCATGGAAATAATTGTAGTCTTTAAAGCCCATTTCCTGTCAGTGATTAGCCACTGACAGTGTGTAATAATTTCTTCCATAGATGTCATGATACATTATACTTGATGTGGTTTTTAGTGGGTATAAGTTTCAGAGAAATTGTTGCTGCTGCTATTAAAAAGGGGTCTAAGTAAGGGATTCAAATGTCTTTTAGATGGCCATGCATTTGTGGCTATCTGGAGTTGTGTTGTTTGAAGCGCTTCCCTTTTTGAGGAGTCCTCCATTAGACAAAGGAACTTATTCAGATAATATTTCTGCAAGCATCTTCCCTGGGAGTTAAGCACTTTGTGATGTTAGTGGGTGTTAGATGAGAAAGAGGTGGGGATGCAGGAAGAGGGGAAGAATTCCTGACCACTTAAGCTTGTAAAGTACTGTACCAAAGCCACAAACAGTCTTCTGTATTGAAGTCCTGCTGAAAGTCTTCACTGTCCTAATATACCACGTGTATTGGCTACTTTCCTACTGTCATGATACAGTACCAAGGCAACTTACAGAAGAGAGTTTATTTTGGGTTTATGGTTCCAAAGAGTTAGAGTTCTTGATGGGGGTGCAGAGGTACCAGGTGGCTGGAGGCAGAAGCAGCATCTGAGAACTCATATCCCCATCCATAAGCAGAAAGTAGAGAACACAGTGGGAATGGTGTGAAAACTCACAACTGCCCCTGGTGACGTCCTTTTCCCAGCATGGCCACACTTGTAATCTTCCAAAGAGACACCAAATGGGAATCAAGTATTTAAGTCTAAGACTTAATGAGGGACATCTCATACAAACCACTCCACAATGTATTGGAGACTGTTTAATCGTTTATTTTACCCAAATATCACTTTTTTTGAGAAAATATTTTTAATTTGTTCACATCTGAATACATTTTGCTAATCCTTCCCCTCCCCCTCTGTTTCTAGTCCAGTCTTAGATCACTGCTTGCCACAGGGCACATAACTGTTTTAAGATAGCTATCATTTTGTGCTAGTGTTTAAGATTGCTTCCTGGGAATGGTTTGAGGGAAGCAATCAGCATGTATTAATGAAGCTTTGAGTGACCTCAGAGGTGGAATACTGTAAAACAAGGTTCCTGGGAACACTGGCTCATTGACCTCTCTGTTTTCTATGATAGCTCATGCCCTGACCTACGGTTCAGCATGGCTCTGTGTGATCAGGAGAAAGCTTTCAGACAACAGAGGAAAGAGAACATAAAGGAGAACATGAAGAAACTCTTGGGTCCAGAAAAGAGTGAGGGGCTATATTCCACACGTGATGTGAGTTGGGAAATTTTAAATGTCATTACAGTCTAATGATAATTTTTTTTAGTCTTTTCTTCAAATATATCCCTCAATACAAGCATTATCTCTTCAGCTTTTTAGGGAGGATAAGTGGTTCAAAAATGAAAGGACTTTGAGGATGTCCAACTCAACACTGATCTTATTTGATAATAGTTATCAGCTTTAGTAGTTATTTCTAATTTGACTTTAAAAACAATGTTAGTGCCACAGAAAAGCTGAGCAGGAAACAGACAGTTCCCCTAATGCTTTTCATTCACACATGTGTATAACATCCTAGTCTTAGAACAGAACCAAAGGGATGCATGCATGCGTGTGTGTGTGTGTGTGTGTGTGTGTGTGTGTGTGTGTATTTAATATGGAAATTGCCTCGTGTATATACTGAAAGTTGAGAAGTCCAATGATATACTGTCTATAAGGTAGAAAACCAAGGAAGACAGGGATGCAATTTAATCTGCATCTGAAGGATTTGATGCTGTGACTATGAGTCCAGGGCTGTAGGCCTAAGGATTAGAATTGCTGGGGTGCTAGGATGGTGGTATTGGTATCATGTCTCAGAGAACCAAGGCCTGAGAACCAGCAGTATAGACATCCAAAGGCAATAAGACATGAATCCACATCAAGCCATGCCTGTTCACATAGAGGAAAGAAGGTATTTTTTATAGAGTCTACTGATTCAAACACTAGTCTTGGAAATCACCCTCAGAGATGCATGCAGAAATACTGTTTTATTAATCTGCTGTCTGGGTATCCTTTGACCCAGGTGTTAATGGAACATTTATCATTATATTCCTGGACTGTTAACACTCCATATCAGAGCAGTACACTTGTTAGCATCAGTGAACTTAACAATTGTTGCAAAATTGCCCAAGTCCATAGTTTATGTGAGGGTTTGCAATGAATGTACATTTTATGTGTTTTGAGAAACGTACAATAACTCATGTCTACAGAATTGGGGGATAGTTTTGTTGTCTTGAATATCCATTGTTTTCCACCTGGTTAATTCTCCCTCTCACACAACTTCTGACATCCACTTATCTTTCTTCTTTCCTCATAGTTTTACCTGTTTCTAGAATCTTACACAGGGACAGTCAGATAATGTGAAGTCTTTTCAGATTGGACTATTTCACATAATAATAATGGAAATTCAGCTCACTCCATATCTTCTCACAGTTTAGTCACTTCTTTTTTTTTTTTAGCACTGAACAGTCTTGTCATTGTATGAATCCAACATAATTTATGTTCTCTAGTACAGTTTTAAAAATTTCCCCTTTATTTTTATTTTATGTGTTTGGGTGTTTTTTCTGCATGTATGTCTCCCATGGAGATGAGAAGAGGGTTTCAGATCCCCTGGGACTGGAGTTAGAGAGGGCTGTGAGCTGTCATGTGCATTCTGGGCCTTGAAACCAGGTCCTATGGAAGAGCAGCCAGTGCTTTTTTTAACTGCTGACCCATTTCCCCAGTCCCTACTACATTATTTTTTTAAATAAGGCATACAAGTATTAACCCTTTTTAGAAAAACACTCTCAAGAGATGTATACAGAAATAAGGTTTTCCTAGTTAGCTCAACAGTACTTAACTGACTTGAGTTGCATATTAAAAGAGGAGATAAAAAATATGTTTCAAGTTCTTCATATTTCAGAGCGGAGAGCTGCAAAATACCATCTAAAATTGACCAAGTAGTCAAAAAAAATGACATCTACTTATAGTTTAGAATAAAGTAAGTGAGAACAGTTATTGATATATAATATTTGAATTTTGCATTAACATTTTTCCTTGTTTAAATTACAGTGAATATTCAATAATATATTTTATAATCTTTGTTGGATGATCTACTGTAGCTGAAGTTTTCCTGTGTCCCAGCCTGCTGGCAGTTGGGACAAATCTCTCCCACTAGTATCCCACAAGTAAACACACAGAGGTTTATATTAATTAAACTGCTCAACCATTAGCTCAGGCTTACCACTGACTAGCTCTTACATTTAAACTAACTCATAATTCTTGTTTATGCTTAGCCACGTGGCTTGGTAACTTTTCCCCGTTCTGCCTTCACATCTTGCTTCTCATGGCAGCGGCTGGCAGCGTCTCCTGACTCAGCCCTCCTGTTCCTAGAATTCTCCTTTCTTTGTCCCACCTATACTTCCTGCCTAGCTACTGGACAGTCAGCACTTTATTTATTAACCAATCAGAGCAACACATTCACAGCAGATATCCACAGCAATCTGTCCTTTCATTTGCTTATCTATCTGTCTATCTATCTATCTGTCTGTCTGTCTGTCTATCTATCTGTCTGTCTGTCTATCATCTATCTGTCTGTCTATCTGTTTATCTATCATCATCTACCTAATACACCCCATGTCTCTGTCTTCCTCTCTATTTACCTGTCTATCTTTAGAAATGAAATTTATGAGAATATATTGCTGCAATGATGAAATTTGTTAGTGATAGAACAGCAATTCTTGGCTTATTTCATGAGGTTTTTCCAGGAACTGAGTATTTTAAGTTAACATAATTTTATTCCTTAAATTCATAAATATGCACACACACACACACACACACACACACACACACACACACACACACGGTTTCAATATTATTGCAAAGTGCACTTGGAAACAAGACACAGCGACCAAGGAAAGGCACCTGATGAGCACCCATGTGTCACAAGCAATGGCAGGTTTGCAGCTGTGTCTTCAAGGTGCCATGAGATGGGAAGCTGGCTGCTGATGCTGGCGTGGCTTTGATTACTGTGAAGCCAACTATCTGTAAAATACAGCACTGCTTACGAGGGATTTCTGCCAGGAAGAAAAGTGAAGCCTCCACTTAGATTTCTATTTCAAAGAATGCAGAGAACTAATTCTTTTTTTTTTTTTTTTATGTTGCATCTTCTTTGTTACCCTGGCAGATCTCTTGAGGAATTTATGACAGGTTATTATGTTTGGTTAGTAGTATTTGGAGAAACTGCCCTCTTACTATATTTACTCATTTCCCCCCTCCATTTACTTTGAATGCAGGCAACACACCTTTCACTAGCAATTCTATAACTTCTTTTTATTTCCATCTTTGTTTGCTGTTGTTAGACTATTAGAGTCTAGAAATTGTTCTGATTTCTGTCCTCTATCACTGATGGAGACAACTGTGTTAGCTTCTGGAGAAGATAAAAGTTCTTCTTACCCAAGGCTCCTTACTGAGTTCAAAGTCTTGTTTGGACAAGAGATATTTAAGCAAGTTAAACTAATGATGTGTTAAGTTAACAGATGTGCTGGAGGACACTGGAATTGGTGGGAAGGTGGAAAGTACTGACCAGGCCATGTGGAATGAGCTTGCTGGAATGCAAAGGAGATTTTCTAGGTCCACGGTCATCTTCGTCCCTCAGAAGACCTTGACTCAGAATCCCAGGCTCCCTATTTGCTGTTCAGCTATTTGCAGCAATTTTATTTTTTACTCCAGCTCTTCCATTATTCTATTCACAGCTAGTAACTTGGCTCCTAATCAAAGGTAAATTAAAGTCAAGAGATAAGAGACCCATAAATCTTTCTCTTCTAAGTTTTGGCTGTAAGGTTGACACATGCCATCCGTGCTTTTCCCTAGTAGTTTCTCTCCTTATTTAATGAGGAGATTTCCTTTTCTTTCAAATGTGGATCCAGAACAGATACACATCACAGGCCCTTCATAGCATATGTTAATTATCTAGTCCTTCCAGTCCCCTCTCCATCTATGATGTCAGCTTCTACTTGACTACAGATATTTTATATAAAAATATACACATGCTCTTCACAGCCCACTTGGCTTCCTTTCATGCTTCAGTCCTCTGCCTTCCCTGTTCTATTGCATCAGTCCCATGAGAAGTAGATGCCGACAGCATCTCACTCCACCTTTCCCGAACACTAGCTGCTGATGTCACATGACATCAGATGACGTCAGATGATGTCAGGTGTCCCTCTGGCATTGGAGACATTGCCCCTTCACCTTGTAACTTCTCCTTCATCGTGGGTCTTTGATTTTCTTATCTAATCTCCTTATTTCCACCTTTGATTTCATCACTAATGAGCCTCTCAGTATCTCCATCTCAGCGCTCCTGATACTGAGAGTAACATCACTGTTTTCTGCATCTCTTCTTGTCCCCCTTGCCATTTTCTGTCTGACCAGAATTCAGAGTGACATTTTCAAAACATGAAGTTGATTACATTAAGCTCTTCTTTTGCGTTTAAAAGTACATTTTTTCCGACTCTACCATGATTGCACCTAAAAGTGCTTCTACAAATATTCATTTGATGTCTTCTTTCTTCATTAGAATATAAGTTTGATGAGGGCCATATAGTATCTGTGAGGTCCACCTGTGTATTTTCAGTAGCATAGCTCCTAAAATATACTCAGGAAATATTTTATGTGAGTCAGAGAATAGAGTTAGGCAGTAGTTGGCATTGCATTTATGCAGAGATGGAATAGAGGGGGGGGGGAGAAAGGAAGGAGAAAGAGAGGGGGGGAATATTAGCTTCAAAAAGAGATGGAACACTGTTAATGAAGTGTTAATTGCTGTTAAGATGAAGGCTTAGATGATGGGATTAGACTCTTAAAGTATACACATCCATGGGCCATTTTAGTATGGGTGTCCATGGGCCATACTGGTATGTATATGCACAGGCCACATTAGTGTGTATATGGTATGTGTATATGCACTAATATGCATGGGCCATATTAGTGTGTATGTTCATGGGCCATAATAGTGTTATGTCCACAGACCATATTAGTGTGGATGTCCACAGACTATATTAGTGTGGATGTCCACAGGCCATATTAGTGTGGATGTCCAGTGGGCATTTATTCTTGGGTTTTCAGAAAAGCAGTAGCTGCTCCTACCCATGACTGGCATTTCCTAGTGGAAAAAAAGTAGTAAGTCTTCCCAGAAAAATAAAATTTGATTTCATATTTGTAAAAGTAGTAGTATACTAAGGTTTTTTTTTTTTTTTTTTTTTTTGTGTGTGTGTGTGTGTGTGTGTGTGTGTGTGTGTGTGTGTTTGCAATAGATGGATAGTGAAGTATAATGCTTTTTTTTCTGAAATAACACTCAAAAATTTGAAATTTATGTATTTGAAGATGGTTTCTAGAATTCTGGTTTGGCTTTGTCTACCCCTCCACTTCTTGTCAGAAATAACCTTAGACACAATCCACACCACAGACTATGTGATCAATACCATCCATTCCTATAAAAATGATTTTTATCATCATGTTAATCTTTGTGTCTCTTAGTCTCCTGTTCTCCTGCTCTCTGTGTATATCTTCATTTTCTCCTTAGTATTTCATAGTTGTCCTCTAGGTATAGGAAAGTGGGTTATTCTCCTCAAGACCCGCCTTAAGGAAACCTCAAAGCCGGGAATGTCCCTATCCTGCTCTTGCTTTTCAAAAGGAGACTGCGCTCAGTGCAGGACCTTAATGAGTTAAAATCTTGGGCATTTGCGTGTGCTTCAGCTGTAAAATGGAGATGATGTCTCTTACAGTGTCAAGTATCAAGGCTGTGATGTATCTAGCAAAATGTACAGAGCACATAGTAGTTATTCAACAAAACCGTTCATTATGAACACTGTTGGAGGCTATTGCTGGCTGTATAGCACCCTGTGACAATAACTGTTCAATGTAATATCCTCAGTGTCCTGCCTGGAGAGTAACCCACATAGGTAAGGTTTCTAATTGTCTAAGAATTTATGGTTCTAAATATCCTAAAACAACAACAACAACAATTGTTTTTTCATCATTTGGGACAGAAATCTTTCTGAAACATGCCACTTCTTGTCTGTGTTAAGTGGATTTAGGCTTTCACATGTTGGTGCCCTTCGAAATCAGCTGCCATTTTGCACACCCTATGTGTCTACTTGAAGTAATGTCTTTAAACTATAGCCTTCTCATTCATCATTATTCCTGTGGAGTTCAAATCTGATAAGCAAGCTTGTAATGTCTCTAATTTGAGTAACTTTTCCCTTGGTGATGGGCTGCTGAGATCAGGAAGGAAGTGTGTAGCACCTCCTTTAGACTTTGAACCATCAGCCTTCCTGGGCCTGGACCTTGCTGGCCCATGCTGTAGTTTTGAACTTTCTAGTCTCTACAATTGTGTGAACCAGTTTCTTACAATGAACATCTTTTCATGTAGACTCGCACTGTACTGGGTCTGTTTCCTTGGTGAGGCCTAACACAGGGCCATGGGAAAACTGTCTTTTGTGATGGTTAGACCTTGGAGTCTATGGGAATATCAAAGCTCTTAAGCACCTCAGAGCTTTCTACTCTAAGGAAGAAAAATAATAGTATTTGTTAACCCATACATCAAGGAGATTAAATCAAAACACAGGATTTTTGGTAAATGAAAGCTCATTTCCTGTAATCCTACAAGAAAGTATGCGAAATATTTCTTGACGTATTTACACGCAAATATTAATGATGCTATGTCCAAATACAACCTAAAAACTTTTTAACAGCATTTCTTATCTGATTCTCTTCAAATAGCATCCAGGACTAACAGATACACACATTATTACCCTGAATGCTATTTCAGAATGACTGTCCAGAAGACTATTTTAGCATCCAAATGTACTCCTCATGTATTGCACAGAATTATGCTGATATTACTTGGTGTTATAGATGAGTATGAAATACAGTTTGCCTACATGTCTGGGAATTTCTCTCAATGAACATGTCCCTTTTCTGTAACAATGCCGAAGAGGAAAGAGCATGGCTTTTGATGTGATTTGTACCTTAGTTTCTTTCTTGGTTGTACTAATTATTAGCTGTCTGTGTATTGTGGGTGCTTCACTTCTTTCAAATGGAAATAAAGATGGCCTTCTGATCACATTCCTCACTCCCACCCCTCGATTCAGATCTGTCACCGAATGTTAAAGATTCTCTCTGTAAACGTTTGTACGTTGAAAGCAAGCTATTTGCTCAACTGACAGATTACTTCTGTCAGACTGACAGAAGGAGCATTATTCTTTTTACACCTTTCAGGATGTCTGAGGGACCAAATGAAACAGTGTCCCTGAAAGCAAGCTGCAGACTACAGCAGACTGAACAAGTGTAGAGCTTTGCTACGGTGGTTGTTATTATAGCTGTTACTGAAATAGTATCTGATTTCCATCTGACTTTGATTCTTGGTTTATAAAATGAAACACTTCTTTAAAAACATTAAATATACAAAATAAAATGAATAAGCATGCACAAGAAAATTAAATATGGCCAACATGTGAGTAATATATGTTTCTTGATATTAAAATGAAATGTTTTTAACTGTAGAGTTGGAACTGAAAATAAATTAATTTGTGGGTTTTGTTGTTTGTCCAATCTCTATGTTGCTTCATTCCAGGTCCCTGTGGTGGCCATTTTGGGTTCAGGTGGGGGTTTCCGGGCCATGGTGGGATTCTCTGGTGTGATGAAGGCGCTGTATGAATCAGGGATTTTGGACTGTGCTACCTACATTGCTGGTCTTTCAGGCTCCACATGGTTAGTATACATTTTTAATTTATTTGAATTTTATTTCTCTAAAGGTTTACAATTTATCTAACTCAAACATTAGGAAAGGGCAATTTAACAAAATTGAATCTGAACTTTAAATTACTAAAATCTTTCCTTCTGATGCCACAATCAGCCTAAGAATGTCTTATTATAATAAACATTTGTATTTAATTAAAACGTTGGCCATCCATTTACTCTTTAAAGCCTGTTTTGGTGACAATTGTAGTTAGGACATAAAATAAAAGGCTAGCCTAGTTGAAGATAATTTTAGATAAATATGACAGTAGTGGAATAGCATACTCCACCCATAATTAATTTAATCTTCCTATAATTTGCTGATTTGGAGTCCTTCAGAAAACATGTCTAAGTCTATATGACTCACTAGGTGCTCATCTTCCTCTTTAGGGCAAATAGGAAAAATGCAAGATGCTGTAGACTGCAGAAGAGAGAACGTGTTTCTGGGCAGCACAAATGCAGGAGGTCTCATTGGTTGCTGTCTAACAAAATATTAAACTAGTTCTTTAATACATTTAAACTCAGTGTGCCTAATCCATACCAGCACATAGAAAATCAAATCAATGGCTGAGCTGTGATGGTGCATACTTTTAATCCTAGCACCTGGGAAGCAGAGGCAGGTGGGTCTCTGAGTTTGAGGCCAGCCTGGTCTACAGGGTGAGTTCCCAAGATAGCCAGGGCTTCACAGAGAAACCCTGTCTCAGACCACCCTCTCACAAAAACCTAAATTCCCTCAAAGAGAAAAATCAAATAGATGGTCTTCTTCATGTATCTCAAATGAGAGAGCATCACCTCATTACAGTATGTCTGCTTCTAACCTAGAAGGCTGATTTGGTTACTGGGCCATGGCAAAGTTCATGTGTCACATTGTTATAGTTTACATGTTCAACATTTTTAAAGTGTCATTTCATCCCATAAGGTGGATATTAGTTTAATTTTTTTTTTGACTAAAGAAAATTTGGCTCATAGGGCAGGTGACTTAATCACTAGATAGACCAGCTTTAAGGTCCATATTCTAACATTTTTGTACTAAATCATCATCTTCCCATAGAGAGTTATATGTATGATATGATGTTAGTACCATGTTCTAAGCAATTGAGCTAACTGGCTACTTCTTCTATATTATGCAGAATTTCCTATGTAGATAATCTAGAGTTGCTTAAAAATATTTTTTTCCTAAATATTTTGAACCAGATTCTGTAGTTAAATAGCCAATAACTTAGGGCTACATTTGCCACCTTCATTGTGCCTTCAACATGATTTATGTCTTCTGAAGTCAGGGTGTAGCCTGTCATTATTCTTCCCCTGGAAGGGAGGAGCACGCACCTGCCTGTTTAATGAGTAATGTGGTGAGAACGCTTGGACCCTTTTGTCCAATCTCTTACTAATAATTTTATTATCTGCCTCTGCATTGTTTTCTTCACTCAATGTTTAGCTGATTCTTGTGGCCCTTGCCAAGTACAGCAAGAGGTCTCTTTTCTTAAACACATCCAATAAACAATGTCTAGTCTTTGAGCACTGGGGTAGAATTGTGTATTTGTTACATGGATTAGACTTGTAGTCATTTCCTTCATCATAGATTTGGGCAATATCTTCTTATATGCTTTTCTTGGGAACCTGAGAATAAGTCCCATGAAATGTAAGAGAGTTTTAAATTTGTCCACACTTTCATACAGACATGATGTCTGCTCTACCCCCCCCCTTAAATATTAGCTTTATCATTTTTTATTTCATTTCCATGAATCACCCTGGGTCTTTAAATTGTTCTAATAAATGTTCACTCACTGGCCATTCCATGTTTCTGTTGGTTAGTACATATTTTCCTTGATTTCTTCTGGTGGAGTTAGGAGCTAAGGACTGTGATAATCACACAAACTGTTTTTTAAGGTCCTCCTCATGCTCTCTGATGGCTCTTTCCTCCAAGTCACCATTCACTACATACACTGCTTCTCTCCTTGATGCCAGGTCTTCTTCGTAACCTCACTCTTGCCAAATTATATCTGCATGGCAAGCTTTGGTGATTCCACAAATCCACCTGACTACCTGAGCTGTGGTAACCAATAGTTTAATCTGTAGAATCCTGGGAACACCAAAACATGACGGACAAAAGAAGAGGACAAAAACTAATAGAGACAGTGAGAAAGCCTGAGAAAGGAGAGTCAAGGGAAAGATGGGTCCCAGAGGCCAGGGATGATGAGAGCTCTGACAAACAGCCTAGGTTGAGTTTGGAAAATGTTTGTGGTTTTAATTAGGAATCACCGGCTTAAGTTAATAAAAGTTATTCTAGTCATGAAATTACATGAACTGAAATTCAAATATGGCAATGTGAAACCTGAAAAACACACACACACACACACACACACACACACACACACACACACACACGTCAGAAAGGGGAAAAAAATAGTCAATGTTTGAGGACACTGTGGGGCTTACCTGTTTGGTTTTTCAAATTTAAGAGACTGGGATATTTAAGTAGATGTCTGAGGTGAAGGGAACAGCACATAAAGGTAGTGGAAAGACAAGAAAGCAAAATGTCAATAGATCATAGATAGGAAAGACTTAGAGACAGATTGCAAGGTGGAACGCACGTATGGGGGAAAATTGTACTGAGAAGAGGAGGTATTTCCTGAGATACAAGCAGGCTTGGGGATGATTCATATTAATAATTCTTGTTTGAGAAAGATAGGCAAGAAAGTAAAAAGTTCAGAGGAAGGAATTAAAAAAGACTTGGAAAAACAAATTACACTTCAGTATTCTGCAGTGTTTCATATTCTATGGAGACATGATGTTCATTTGGCATAAATGAGATAGTACAAATACATGTGGAGTAGTCCTGGACCTCCCGGACAGTTTTCTGTGATCACAAAATCAAATTTTTGGTTGGACAAAGCTTCTCTTATAACTGTAGCTACCTTTACAGTAATTATTTCTGAAATTATTTTCGGATGATTCCTGTGACTCATTAAATATAAACTCGGGAGGCTTGGCATGAGTAAGCTAGGAGAGTCATGATGATAATTCTGTGTTCTCTTGCTTAGGCTTTTAACAGAGCTCTCTTCCTCAGAGGAGCTGCTGTCTTGTAGCACTGGAAGAGGCTATATATTTTATAATTTTAATCACCTATTTGTATGGAATCACCCTCTAAAGAGAAATCAAAGTCTCTCCATGTTTATAGACAATGGTGACAGTGCCCCGTCTATTAAATTGGCTAACATAAAATTTGAGAATGAAAGTTTTCACTAGCTTGGAGCATTCCTAGAATAATGTGGAGGGTCTTCTCAAGTTATCCAGAATCTTGATTGAGAAGGAGAACTACCTTGGCACATTCTTGAGTACAAAGAGTCTAAATGTACACACTTCCAGGTTCTAACCCAGCAAGTCCAAGGGGCTGGGCACTAACACCTTGAAATCTGCACTGTGGGCTATAGGATTTGAAGATAGGGATTGAATTTAGTATTCTTTTTCATCTTGGAATGGTATAGCATTGAAAAATTTTACATTTAAATGCATTTATGTAGAAATAATGAGGTATCTTATATTAATAAGTTGAAAATTATAATTCAGTACTTACAGACCCTTATGTAAGTAAACATAAGACCATTTCATTCATTGATTTCTAGAAGTTCTGCCGAAGACACTCTGTTTTAGAAAGCTGATTGGTATAACTGGGATATAAAATAGAGACTTATTTGTGGAATTATCACTTGGGGTTATATATGTGAGTTTCAGGTAGTCTTACATGGAGAAAACTAGTTATATTTTCTTCTGGGTCAAACCAAGGAGACAGAGAAAACCATTTAATCTTCAAGAACTGCACAGAAAACTAGTTGCCTATTATTCTATTTTTAGCTACCACTAGAGCAAAACCTCAAATCCAAGTAGACACAATGATATCATGGAAAGGATATCCAACTCACCCTTGTGAATTCTAAGGAATATGTGTTCATAAGGGTTGAACAACAATGACTATTAACTCTATGCCAAGAAACTGGTCTAGGTTGTTGTGTTTTGTTTTTGTAAACTGGCGATTAAGTTCCCAAGCCAAGTGCTTCCTGAGAAAAAATGAAAAGGAGAGAGAGAGAGAGTGAAATTGAATGAGCTTTCTTCACCTGCTGGAGGATAGAAACAGAGGATATAAGGTAGCCATTCTCCTTGTGATCAGAAGAGTGGTAGGCTCACATCTGTATACATTGTGTTTCTTTGAAAAGGTCTATCTCTGATATAGACACTCTGAGATTTTAAGCAACCTCTTAATAACTAAGGGAGAGGTTTTTCTTGTAGCAGGGATGGATGAATGTTGGGAGAAATGCAAGGAAGAATGTGAGCCTTTAGATCTTGCTAGTGGCAAGTCTTTGGGAAGAGTATTTGTTACAGTTCATATTGATTCATCCAAAATTCAGCTAAATATAGATGAAGAAGTTGTACTGCAATGTAAATAGAATTTAGATAATTATATCTGTCTGTGCATAGAAAGAATGACATTTTCCAGTGACAGAATGACCATATCAAATCCCTTTCACTTAGCCTTAAAAGAAAAAAAAAATCACTCTTGACTCAACTGATCTCTGATGTGAAGTTTTACTTTCCTTGTTCATGTTGTTCATTCTGTCTCATTCAGAAAAAGACTTAATGTTCCTTGTAATAAAATAGACTAAATTGGATACATCATACATCGAATACCTGAATGAAAGGAAGGAGCAATTGAGTTTGAAGTAAGAAAATGGATGCTGTAATGTATAGCCTTCATGGGCATGTGACACAACTTTAGAGCTAAGCTTTCTAGAATTCAAAAACATGCAATCTATGTGAAGTTAAATAATACAGATTTTAACAAGCTATGGAGGTGGAAGTAGAATTATCATTAGTGATTTAGATAATACTTTAGTAAGTTACAGGCAGTGGAAGTAGAATTATCCTGAGTAATTTGTGATGACTTCTTGGCTTGGTTTGGTTTGGTTTGGTGTTGGGGATTAAACTCAGGGCCTCACACATGCTTTCCAAGTGCTCTATGACAGAGCTAAATCCTCAACCATTCTTGGTAATGAAACAAAGAATTTCCTTGTAAAACTCTCATAAAGAATGAGCTATATTCTGGATATTTTAAGAGCTGAGCACATGAGAGTCTCTAAAGGTTGTTTTATTTTCAGTTATTCTGATGACCTTAAATATAAACACCTATAGCTACATATGCATTTATTAAAGCTTAACAGGGTCTAGAAAAATTGGGTCTTTGTTTATGTGCATGAATCATGATGTAGACTTTTAGACAGTTATCCAAGCAGATAAAGACTGTATCTTTCAAGTACTCTGTGCTGTATTTTTACAGTTATTTGATGATTGTACTAACCAGAGTTCCTGGTAAGCTTTTAATGGCTTAAATGTACCAGGTGTTAGGTGACAATTATAAATTCAGTTGGTGTGATCAAAACATTTAAGTAGTTTTTCTTTTTATTGTTAAACATATATTCTGTTTGTGATTCTTTAATTCTCTATTCTTTTACTTATGTTTTTCAATTTATTATTTTTTTTCAAATTGTTTTTTAAGAAACTCTGAATCCAAAAGTACATTCTCATTCATTATCTAGTGAGAATGATTTTTTAGTAAGGACTAAAATCTTGTAGAATAGTTTAAAATAATAAAGCCTACATGTTCAAGGCTTTACAGTAGTTTTAGCAGTTCATGGTTAGTATAAGCTACATAGTGAGATTATAGTGAGGTCATAAAACAAAACAAATGGAGTGTGGTGATGTATGTCTTTAATCCCAGCACTTGGAAAGCAGAGGCAGGTGGATCTTTGAGTTTGAGGCCAGCCTGGTCTACAGAGTGGTTCCAGGACAGCAAGAGCTACATAATAGACCCCGAAGAAACAAAACAAGACAAACCAAAAAAAAAAAAAAAAAAACCAAAAACCAATACAAAACAATGAATATTGACTAAAGCTTACAAAAGATAGGGCATGTTTTAAATTCTAATTCTTTTTTATTAATTGATTATATGGGCCTATTATTTACTGATTCTTCTTTAAAAAACAAAACAAAAAACAGAGTATTTGTAAGCCATTATGAATCTTTAAGACAAGAGCTAGGAACATTTAACCAGAATAGTGCCTAAAACAAAGCAGGTCTCAGTAAGAGTTAGGCTTCCTTTCCCAAAGAGAAAACAAGCCATGATGATATGAATGTAGATGAAAACATGCCATTTTATGGATTTGTTTGGGTAGAATATAGAGTATCTTCCCTTGTATTTTGTTCTGTCCATGCAGTAAGCTGTTGCATATGCCAGGTTATCTACCAAGACTGAAAATGATAATAATGAAAGTTTATTTTTCTTGAAGCAGGTCAGAATTTGTTAATGGAGACAGATAAGTAAAGGATCTCTCTATAGGACTTCTACAGTACTAGAGATTTTGGTTCGTAGCAAGGACACCAGGAACAGAATATTTCTTATCTGGATAATAAATTCCAGGCTCATGGCGATTTTTGTTTATCACTCAAAGTGGCCACATATCTGGTGATCAACAGGTTTCATCAGCCAGGAAGGCCTTATTCTTTTCTAGGGTGTTTGACTTAAGTTCATATCCTTAAGAATTTGGAGCTCTACTTTGGGCAAAGTTTTGGATTTTAATCAGTTGGCCAATGCACAATTTTAAAAAGAGACAAAACAACAACAACAACAACAAAATTGGGAAAGAAGGGAGAAAGAAAGAAAAACATTCGTCATGAATTCCGTGCATCCCCAGTCATGCACAAACCCATTTCTCCATGTAGATCAGCATCATGGAAAGTGAGATTATCTGGTTCCTGACTGCTTTTACATCCAGAAAGGTCAGTTTACACATGACTCAAAAGTGTTGTCATCCATGTCCAGTAAGTATGATAAAGACAATCGTTCCTGGCAGACTAATGGAGAATAGTCTGGCCATGCTTCCCTGACAATTGTGAGGGAACTCCCCTTTCCTCTTGTAGATTCGTTCTCTCCTAATTTGCTGCCATCATAGACCAGGACATTTCTGATTGATATCTTTGTTTCTTAAATAAATTAATTCTTTCAACCAGATGGAGAAGTTAGCCAAATATATTCACCATTCTTTATCTTGTGCTGGAGAGTGCCTCCTTTCTTTGGAGACTTCTATGGAATGCCCTTTATCTTTACTAATGGTGTTTTGAATTATTTACAGGTACATGTCAACCTTGTACTCTCACCCTGATTTTCCAGAAAAAGGCCCAGAGGAGATTAATGAAGAGCTAATGAAAAACGTTAGCCACAACCCTCTCTTACTTCTCACACCACAAAAAATTAAGAGATATGTTGATTCTTTATGGAAGAAGAAAAGTTCTGGCCAACCTGTTACCTTTACTGACATCTTTGGGATGTTAATAGGAGAAACACTAATTCAAAATGTAAGTCATGGTCAAATTGTAATCCTTTCAACTGTAGTAGGCAATGTAGACTAATTATAATGTCTGACATTAGAACAGGTATAATATATTTTGTACAGTCTACTCCACTCAACTTATTTCTTCAACAGTGTATGTGCTAAACACATATGCCCTGCCAGATGGTAAGCTTCTTCCCTTCAAACTAGTGCTCATCAACTAATTCAAACTACTGTCAGTTTGACGTGTGTGAAAGAACTTTTATATCTTCCTTTCGAAAAGTCAAATTTTCACTGTCCACTCCCACCACGAATGGTAATCTCTTTAGGTGAAATGGTGAATACGAGTACTATTAAAAATAGAAAAAGAGGAGATTTTTCTCTCCTCAGCAGATAGGAGTATGCACTGCTCTTGCAGAGGATCTGGGTTCAATTCCCATCATCAATGCCTGGCAGCTCTCAACAGCCTATAACTCCAGCTTCAGGAAGATTCAACACCCCTGGCCTCTGTGAGCACCTGCATTCACACTCACATGTCCACACCCAGACAGATGTACATATTTCATCTTTTAGAATAATAAAGAAAGGTGGCAGAGGAATGATCATAGTCTTTGCCTGGTAAGAGTCACTTCCAAAAAGGAAGTGGACCACAGGAACCAAATGTCCTTGCTGTGTCACCGCAGGGTGACATTTCATCTGCAGATAAAGCAGGGGAGACATGACAGCCTGGGCCAAGGACTCCAGCTGAGAATCAGTTTCCAGCACTGTAGCTGCCACATCTCCCTCCATGTCAAATGTTGATACAGTCTCCAGAGATTTGATGGTTTGACACTACAGATGACTTTTTCCGAAGACCTCTGTTTTTGCTGTCTATTTGAGACCAGAGACTTCCAGAAATAATAGGACTTAATTTTATTATAAACATTCAACTAATTTGCTTGAACATATTATTCAAATAGCTTTTATCTATATCCATGTCTATCTTTTAAAAAATATTTCATTCTTTTTGTGTGCACACGTGGACAGAGAATGAACACTACCTTGAGTAGTTTGAAGGAAAAGGTCGATGCAGCTCGGTGCCCCTTGCCTCTCTTCACCTGCCTCCATGTCAAACCTGATGTGTCAGAGCTGATGTTTGCTGGTATGTTGTCCTATTGATCAGAAAATCCCTTAAAATGGAGATTTCTAATGATTTTCCTGGTGTAAAAAGTCATACGCAATTTTGGTTGCTAATTATAATACATTTCTGTAACTCAAGGCAGTTTGAAAATGTAAACTAAGCTAGGTAACTTTTCTGGTTGGCAAGGGTATTCCATAAGACTGTACATAGTACCTATTCATTTAGATTCGTAAGGTGGGAATAGATGGTGAAAGCAGTCAGTTGCTAAGTGGTCCATTTTCTGATGACTGCGGACAATAGGGTACCTGGTTTTTTAAGCCATGTTTACACTTGTGGCTGAAAGACAAAATGCCTTATTTTTAATAGATAAAGTTGCACTTGTTTCTTTTATGGCTTCAGTTCTCAGGTGCTGTAAAAGGACATTATGTTTCTGTGGGATCCCAGCCGCAGTCATATACAATGCAGGGATGTCATTGGCTGTTTTTAGAGACACACAACTCAATAACTTCATTCACACTGAGCTCTTAAAAAAAATCACCATGGATTAGCAGATGTAAATCCATAGTCCCTTTGTAATCTAACTCTCTTTTGACCTTGGCTAAATACTCTCACGCAAGAATCCTTAATAGTTTATAGACAGTGGTTTGTTCACTAATACATAAGTATTTATTAGTGATACGGACTAAAATGTCTCTTGTGCTTATGGTTTCCAGGGAGCGCTAGTCACATTTGTTATTTTAATCCACTTTTAGTGGAACCTAGGGAGGTAAGTATTTTTAACTTTGATTCATAGAAGAGAGTAAAATCTCAGGGACATGGTGTGATTGGTATAGTCAGTGAGTGTGGTCCATAGCAGAACTGAGACCCGACCTTGGAAAGCCTTTGTTCTTTTAATAACTTCATATTGGTTTATGTGATTACTGACCTTGTCAGACGCACTTTTGTTGGCTCTCTGGGTTACCACTTTCCCTTGCTACATACAGCATATGGTTCTTGTCTGCACGAGCTTGTCAGTTGTTTGGAAAATTTACAGTAAGCGTTAAGAAATGGAGAAAGAAGTTAGCTCTCCTTGTGTGAAGTGCCATCAGCATCTTGTAGCCTGCATCCCTGTACCTCTTAATCAGGTTTTGACAAATGCATGCCATCAAATATAAAAAATACTTCACTGGCAAGCCACAATTAAATTTCGATACATCTTTAAGAAATCAGAGTGTTCTATGAGAGATGGCATAAGACAAATCACTCTTTAAGACCTTAAAGAAGAATAGGATTTTGTATATAAAGGTGAACTTAATTACTGGGCTATCAAGAGTGGGAGGGAGGCATACATTAGGAGTAAACATGTATGCTCAGCAGCAACAAGGACCATAGCTTTCACCAGGGTGTGGTTCATACTGGAGACGTGAGACTTCATTATAATAAATAAGTGCTGTGATGAACTTGTACCTTCCTCTAGCTATTCTTTTGGGGAAACTTTTAATTCTGGGGACTGGCTGATATCTTAGCACAAGCATTCTAGTTAGAGCTCAGGACTGGAGAAATCATCTTTTATCCCATAAGCACTGAATTAAGTCAGAAGAGCATGAGAGTTTAATTGGTAAGCCTTGGTTGGCTTTTATGTTGAAATTTCTCTGGCACATCATTTAATCTCTCTGATACTTATTTTCTTCACTATTTTAAATATTATTATCCATTACCTTTATCATGTGGAGGAAGTTATGACAATTCTTGATTTATGCATAAAACTGATGGTTGCAGAAATATAAGTATTCTTATTGTCACAATTACTATAGCCTTTTTCATATTGGCAACTTTTTTCTGAGCTTTTAGTTGATAGCCATTGAGAAGGAAAAAATTAACTAAAATATGAATAAGTAGTTTTTTTTTTTCTGAAGGCTAATGGCCAAGGTTCCTTTTCAGTTGTAGATTTTGGGTCTGAATGGGTCTAATCTGGAAATCTGACTCTATGAGATGCTACACACCATTGACCTTCACTGTTAAGCCTCTGTGATAAGGAAGGTCAAGTTGTGTCTTCCATTAGCTGTGGGAATCTTGTACCCGGATAAGACATTCTGAGTTGCATATCATGACTATTCAAGTAGTTTTACTTGAGTAATTAGAAAAGAAAAACATAGAAAGAAGAAAAAGTGAAAATATTTCTTTAGTGCTTGAAAATATCTTCTTAACAGAACAGAAAGGCTGGAACAGTGAGTTATTTTCTAGAATGCCAAAGAACACAATCAGCTAATAGAAGTTTTATCAACAATTCTGCTTCATAAATACTAGAGACTGTTTTTCTTCCAGACTCTTGGAACAGCTTTAGACGATTTTTTCCTTTGGAAAGTTTTCAGCAAATGAACATTAGTGTTTAAACCATTTAAATTCTGGCTCTTCCACTCTCTTACATTGCTGGGAAAATTTAAAACTGTATTTAAGATTCTCTAAAGGTGAATAACTTACATGTGCTGAGGATGACTTATGGTTATGGACTAGGAATAATGATAAATTAATCAGTTTTGAGACAGGATCTTGATATGTGTCTCATGTTACCTGCCTTCAATTCCCAAGTTGTTGGGATTATAGATGTATATTACCATTTCTTGTTTTATGCTAATTTTTGTGACAGAAACCATAGTTCCGAAATTTATTGCCTTTCCTCCCCAAAAGTATAGTCTCACTGAAGACACAAAACTAAAACCTGGACAAATTAATAATGTACATCAAAAATATAATTATTGGCTGAAGTATGTAGATATGACATAGGATAATATTGTATAACTTTAGTATAGTCATAAAAATATTTTATAGGGTGATTGAAATAGGATTCAAGTTGGACTTGGGGGTAAAAGGTAACTTTGAATAGGAACAGCATGGACATGTTTAGAAACCCTGAGCCAAAAGTCTGTCCTGGGGAGTCACTAACATTCCTGCTCACTCCGTTGAGGAGCCTGGGACTTATGCACATGCTGGTGTAGACTGTGTCCATGAGAAAGACTTCAGTGCTGAGTTAGGAACAGTTATATCTCCAGCTGCCTTTGTTTTATGATAATGGGAAATAGTTATTGCTCTGGAGCAGGGCAGTTAAATTACTGGGCTAGTGTTTTTGCAAAAAAAGTCCATTGGTGAGGGGCTGGAGAGATGGCTAACCAGTTAAAGAACACTTGCTGCTCTTGCAGAAGACCTGGGCTGGGTTCCCAGCATCCACGTGGTGACTTACAACCATCTTTACTTCCTGTTCCAGAGGATCCTGTGTCTTCTTCTGACCTCTGTAAGCACCAGGAGTACATGGGGTACACAGACACACATGTAGGCACAACATACATACACATAAAATGATAAATCTCTTAAAATTTTTTAAAAAGTGTTTTTTAAAGCTTAAGTCAGATAGACAAGAAGGGAAAGATGTTAGAAGCAGGAACTTTTATTTCCAAGTTCAACTTGAGTCACTGTGAAGAAATCCTGAGACCAGGGAGGTACTTTTCAAGAAAGAGACAAGTAGATAGATGCTCAAAGCCAGTACCTCATGATGACATATTTCATGGAGTCAAACAGAGTTTTCAACAGTCGTTGAATCAGCCAATCAATAGAACATTTATCGGGGCTGTGATAGTGTAGTTTCCCAAAATAGTTAAGTTGGCGAGGAGGGAAGGGGATGAGGTGTTTTTTTTTTTTTTTTTTTTTTTTTTCTCTCTCAGACAAGGGTAGTGGGAGGTGATGATGGAGCTTCCGAGTGTAGTGCTGAACAGGAAGTGGGGAATGAGCAAGTGCGGATACAGGAGAGAGGCTGAAATTGAAATGTATGAGTCAACAGCTGGAGGGTTGGAGCTGAATAACAGGAGGAGAGGCCTTCAGCAAGGAGCGGAGGGTAGATCTGAGCTTTTGAAAATGTCTGTCATCACAGTGTATAAGCCAGCCAGCAGCAATTAAGCAGGGATCAATCAAAATGAAAGGGGCGGGAGTTAGTTCCCAAGACAGTGTTAGAAATTAAAACACGGGCATGGGAGTTTCTCGACTAGCCTCTGCTTCACTGCAAGTTGTTTCTCAGCAATACCACATTCCTCAGTCTGAAACAGGCCTCTTTCAGATGGAGCATCCTTAGATGCACCACTCAGCTTGGATTTGAATGAGCCACGCTATCTCATTGCAATTATGATTTTACAACTTCGTTTTTTGAAAGGCGAGTGTTCTTCTCCCTTGAGAAAACAGTACATATGAAGCATAATCCTTTTTCTAAAACGATGACAGCACACTTCTTGGACATTCAAATGTTTTAGACTTGGAAGTTAAAATTATGATCATAATTGATGTAGTTCAGTATCCCCGTGGATCTAACAGTCAAACCGCTTGGTATTTCTCCAATAGGGGGTGTCAACGTTCTCAATTGACAGGGATAACTAATGTTGCAAGAGTGCCCCTTGTCCCACATTGAGTTCAGATCAAGCTTTACCACAAAACAATCACAGGAAGGCTAATGGGTTGTGCAGTTGTTTGTACTGTGGTTGTTGAATAATAAATATATTTGGGACATATCATTTCAGAAAAGTAAACTGAGAGAAACAGGGATAGCAGACGATTTGGAGTTGAGAAGGGAGTTGGGGCTTTATAGAGAACCTCTAACAAAGACATCAAACTCAATGTTAAGAGAAGCCGTGTAATTACAGAAGGGAGCAACAAGTGGAGGACCCTGTGGGAATGGCCTTGACTTCCCAGGAACAGCAAGAGGGCTTGCGTGGAGAGGGTGGAATAATCCGATGTGTAACAGAAAATTTGACGTGGGATTGTTTGAAGGGAGCAGGTGGAGGCTAACTGCCTTTCAATTCACAGTGAGAAGGCGGGGGGGGGGGGGCGCTTCAGATGAGAGTGTGGTGTTCTGACATTTCTCTTCTCCCAAGTTGATTTTGACTCCAGTGTGTGGGATTGGGGTGGGAGGTGGGAATGCAGAGGGAAGGGGAGAGGGTTGAGACCTCTTAGGAAGTCACTGTGGAGATCCAGGGAGAGGATGCAGTACCCTGTGTGGTACGGTGATGATGGCATGTCTGATGACAGACCCTACAGCACTGGACTTTTCAGATGGGAGCTGTTATGTCAAGGGAGGCCATCATAAACGAGAGCTGAAGGAAGAATGGTGCTGTCAACAGTAGTGCTAAGAAAGAGAGCCAAAGGAGTGGTAACTGGGAAAGCCAAAGTCAGAAGCCAGACATTCTTCTTGGAGTTACTAAAATGGAGATCAGTGTTAGACAGGGTGATGGCATGGGCAGACCCCCAAACACCACAGTGGCTGCTATTAAAGGAACTATTAAAATGTTCATGGCTTCCCCTCCACTTCCTCCATTTCTCCATTCACTGGGGCCTTAACCTTACAAACCGCATGCTGATTTTATTCACGTCATTAAGGCCTGAGAAGACAGGTGATGCATTCAGGTTATGAGCACGGTTCATGAGCCACGGCACAGGGTTGGTCCCAGACTGTCCGGCACCAGTGCTGCTGCTGTGCACTGTACCTTACTGTTCCCACCTCGATGGACTGCTAAGAAATCAGAATAACATCTTGTGCATTACGGTTGGGACTTTCGAATAGATGATTAATAGAAAAAGGTTAAGTAAAGATACAGAAAACGCTTCTTCCCCATTTTGTTGAGGGTTTGATTCATCATGAAGAATTTAATTTCTTTCATTTCCTTAATCCATTTTTATGTCTGAGAATTTTTCAGTTTTACAGTCTTAAACTTAAGATGGACTATGTATGCAAAAGATGTCTAAGTTTTTATATAGAAAAAGGTATTCGTGTTGTGTCAATTAGAAGGATCTTTTTATATTGTTTTTTTCCTTAACCACCACATGGTGTCATATATGTAGTAGGTATTAGTTAATGTTTTTATTAACTAGAGTAATAAGTGAAATGAATTATGGTGCTGTTTGAATTATCATTAATTATGTGTGTCTCTGTATCATTTTCCTATTAATAAAGGGTCTTATTTCTAAAATGCTTTTAGATTGGGTTGAATTTAGTCCATATGAGATTGGCATGGCAAAATATGGTACCTTTATGGCTCCTGACCTATTTGGAAGCAAGTTTTTTATGGGAACGGTTGTGAAAAAATATGAAGAGAACCCCTTGCATTTCTTAATGGGTAAGTAATAATCAAAAGTTCTCTCTCTCTCTCTCTCTCTCTCTCTCTCTCTCTCTCTCTCTCTCTCTCTCCATTTTAAACATGGATGCATTTTAAGATCTTCTCTGTTTCTCCTTTCTTCAGGTGTCTGGGGCAGTGCCTTTTCCATACTGTTCAACAGAGTCCTGGGAGTTTCTGGGTCACAAAACAAAGGCTCTACAATGGAGGAGGAATTAGGTATTGGAAAAGACTTGCATTTATGAAAAGCTATGCTGAAAATCAACTACACTCATAAGCAGCACATACGTATGTGGAGAATATGAAATCTTTCTAAGGAGATTAATTCTCATTTTATCAGTAGCTTTGTTGAAACTAATCTAAGTGTTTCCTAAAAATGGTGTCCAAATTATTTAAGTACTATTATGACATTGCAGTTGGGAAATTTACAAAGACCACTCACTGTTCCTAAGAATAGTTTGTACCAGGGCATCTCTGTTCTTTTTCTTGCTATATTTCCAAACATTATTTTTGTTAATGACTACTCCTTTTTAGGACAATAAAGGTAGCTTTTTAAAGACTAGGTTCAGTAACACATGAACATAGATTTTTTTTTAGGGATGAATTCATCTACATAGGGCTAACTTACTAGAGTTTTGTTAGCCTGTTCTATAACACAAATTCACAGTTTTTTTAAAGCAGATAAATTAACTCATGTCTTCTAATCCAAAATTAATGGTTTTCATGACATCTAATTCATCCTGTAATAATTTAAAAACAAATTTTATAAATCTTGAAAAAGTAGACTAACTCTATTGAGGACTAGTTCTTTATAGTCATAATTAGATGAGTACTATAGGAATATATTTGCCTGAACGAATAAATTTGATTTTTAATAAAAGTAGAACATGCATTCATGACTTGCCCAAAGTCTTGTGATTTGCATCTAGTAAGCACTATGTTTTGATGGACTGTGGGAAGAATCTGTAGAATGCTGAATTAGAATTTTTGGGTCAAGGATGCAGTTCTGTTGGTAAAGTGCTTGTTAGCCTGCAAAGTCCTGGATTTGATCCCTAGAGACATAAGCCAGGCGTGGTGGCACAAGTTTGTAATCCTAGAACTCAGGAGATGGTGATTGAAGGGTGAGAAGTCCAAGGTCATCCCTGGTTACATCTCATGGTTAGAGAACTCCTTGGGATACATGAAGTCCTATCTCAGAAACAAAACAAACTAACAAGCAATAATGAATGAATGCATTGGGGGAGGGGCAGTGTATCAGAGATCAGGGCTACCAGTCAATTACATGCTATTTATATATATTTTTTTCTGTCCATGTCATATCACAGGCCTGTTTGGGAACACAGATTAAAAACAATGAATTTTTTGAATGCTCAATTCATTTTAAGAATATGTTTACATGAAAAGCTTACTGTGCTATATTTTTTCTAATATGTGGCCTTTGGAGATCACAGACAATGGCAACTGACATAATGAAGTTCTATATGCATAAGAGAATGTAATATTTACATGGCTTGAAGTGCCGCACCTGTCGTTCTGAGTACTGTTTCTCCTGAGGGACTTGATTTCAGTGGTTGATAGTTACATGCAGTGTGCAAAGACTCATTAATCTTCTCTTTAGGAGTACTATTTGTTCACTTGGGTCATTCTTAAGAAAGCTTTGGAAAAGTAATTTTATTATTTCATTAGAACCAACTATTGCTAACTAGACATTAAAAACAAACAAAAAGGCCACTTGTTGCTTGTGGTACTTTCTGTCATCCAAGCATCCCTCGGGTCAGGAGCTGGCAATGTGGGTACCATCTGGAGCCTGAGGTGGTCTTCAATGCAGAGTCAATCTCTTCATTGTTAAACTATAATCGAATTCTATAAGGATGAAGGGCTTGGAGGTAGCTCAGTGATAGAGCGCTTGTCTGGTGTATACAGGGTCCTGGGTTTGATCCCCAACACTGTTACAACAACCGCAACAAATAGAGATTACCCAGGCAGGGTGGAAGGCCGTAAGACTGAACCAAACCCGGGCTTCATAGAAAGAACTGAATTAGCCTGGGCTAAAGTATAGGATGAGGTCATCCTGCTTGGTTTATTTTAATAGTAGCATCCCAGGTGGATGCCCTGTTCCCAACTTTAGTTTTGTGGAAGTCACTCAGTCTTTTCTGAGTCACTCGGTCTTTTCTGAATTACGTGAAGATTTTGAAAAAGAGAAAGGAAATCAGAGAGGAAGCCCACGCTGGGTGGCCTGTTCCCTGTGTTCCTTCGCCACTGAATAATCCTGATAACTCAGGTTAATTATTTATTTTTCTCCCAAGGCAGGAAGAGAATAGGGCTGAGATTACACATCAGAAGGTGGGCGAGACAGCGGCTCCAGGCCAAGGAAAAGGGAGACGTTTACAACACATGGTGCTGAGAAGTCTCCCTGAAGAAGTCCCCTCGAGGCCAGCAGTCTGGCTGCTGGCTGTTCTGTGTCAGACTGAGGGCAAGGGATATTGTGTACTTGGGTTCCGCTGGTCAGCAGAAGGCATGCCACTGCAGATTATGTAAGGGTTTCCAGAAATGAAACTGAAGAGGTGACTGAGGGGACTCAGGATTTCTGGGGACTGCTTCTTCTTTTGGCTGACTGGGGTCTCCCTCTTAAGGGGCACCCAGGGAGGGTTTGTTATCCATTTTTTCAGTCCCTCACCTTCACAAAGACTTTAAGGTAGACTGGACCATTGTTAGATAACCTTAAATGAAATCATTTATTTTCTCAAAGAGGTTTATATGCGTGCGATTTTTGCTTCTAAAAAGAGCTGTGTAAAGATAGAAAATAAGAGTTCAGATTCAACCCTTCATGCCCTGAAAATGTCCTTATAAAGAAGACAGTGTGATTTTCCTAAATTAACATACCAAATGCAGCCAAAGTAGAGCAAAACCAGAACAACAGTGACAGATAAAAAGAAATGCTTAAGGATAGAAAAGAACATACACGCAGTGACCAAGCCACCAGAAGTATGGCATCTGGAATGGATCTTTTCTTACTCTGCCCATTGTCCACTGTATGACAGAATTACTGCTACCACAGTTTTAATATGAAAAGAACAGTCACATTAGATTTTGAGTACTTTATTTTGTTGAATTTTGTATTTATAACTAATGACAGTAGAAATAAAGTTTTAAGCTCCCAGGAATTTACTAACTTTTCTGTTACATAACCATCTATGCACCTGCCCTTATGTGAGTGTAACAAACATCTGGAGAGAAGTAAGGGGAAGCCACATGCCACCCCTCTGCTTTTCTGGACCTACAGCTTGGCCAATGGTTCTGTGAATGAAATTTCTAAATTCGGAACTAGTGCCTTGAAATTGAATAAAGAAAAGCCATCTTTTCTATTTGCTGCCAAAGAGGAAGAAAAAACGTCACTCTGGGGATAGTTCATATGAATCAGCAAGAAGTCTGATTTTCCTGCAAATGGTGATCACAAAAACACTGGCCAGGGTCCACAGATGAGGCGCATTTCCCCTGGGAAAAGGGTGGCTAATGATGACACTAGATTTTGCTGCTGTCTTTGTGCCCCTCAGTTCTCACGCTGGTCTTAGCATGTTTTGAAGGGAACACACAATTCTTGACATACTGAACATCAACAGATGTTTTTCAGTGTCAGCAGAAACCAGAGGTTAGTTAAAGTGAGTGCACTTTCTTCATGCTCTGGAGACTATTGTAGGTCACTTGTAGATTTGGATGGTGTCCTTTACCTCTGGAAATACTAACGTTGTAATCAAGCAGTTATTATTATTAAAATTAAGATGAACTCATAAAAACCCTGAAGACTAGGAATGGACAAATTTACACTAATTAATTTTTGTTTGCTGGGATATTTGGCGACCCAGTGGTAAGTTTTTAAGAACTGGTGAATCCCATGAGTCTCCATTTACAACACTGAACTCACAGAAATCTGCCTGCCTCTGCCTCCTGAGTGCTGGGATTAAAGGCCTGCGTCATCACTCCCTCATCTCCGTAGTAAATTTAGTTGTGAATTTTGATCCCTGAGATGCCTCAATGATTTTGTCTTCTTCCCCCAGAAAATATTACGGCAAAGCACATTGTGAGTAATGACAGTTCTGACAGTGATGACGAGGCCCAAGCACCCAAAGGTAAGAGCTCGAAAGCGTCCCTTCGGATTGTGAGCAGAGAGGGGAGAGCATTGTCCAAGCCCTCTCTGCGTGCCGATGATGTTCTGAGTCCTGAAGCATTAGTATGGAGGCTGTCCCATGAGAGACAGGACTATTGCATAGAACCTAAGAGCCGAGGCAGTAGAATCACATCTTTTCCTTTCTTTTAAAGCCCCAGACATATTTGCAGGACAACAGATGAATCTGTCTGAGATGGTGGCAATACTGAATTCTCTTCTGGCCAGATTAGTGAGCTGGACATCTTAGTGTGGAAAGTGGGATTGGGGAGTACATGTAATTTGCTTTAAAATGAATGAAAATGTTGTTATTTAAATTGTCATTAAGCCATCTGAAAGGTTTGACTGTCAACACATTCTTTAGCTTTCTGTCATGGTTAGTAACTCAACTCTAAGGAAAAATGCTGTGGAGAAGTGTGTTAAAATTATCAAGACTTGTTGCTCACTTGACCTGCCAGTATCAAGGATTCCTTTTGCTTTGGGAAAATGCAGCTAGGTCTCAGTTTGGTGTGGGTCGGAACAGTTAGCAGCACATTTGGGATGAGGATGAAGGTGAGGATCGGAGATACTTATTGCAATGTGGTATTTGTTAGTGTAGAAAAATGTAGAGATTGTAGATGTTGACAGCAATTTTCCAACAAAACGGTTCATAAAAAAAATGTACTTAATAGTTCAAAAATAAACACACAAGAACAAAACACGAAAAACGACAGCTAAGCATTTAGAACTAGAAGAGTCTTTTGCCATTTGAATACGACCGTCTAGACTTGAGAAGGCAGAAGACTGCTTTGTCCAGAGCAATGAATTCTCCCAGGCGTGGTATGCATGTGGGGACGGCTTGTTTTCTACCCTTTCCAATTATCACTAAAAAGAGAGATTCTTTTTTCATAGCCAGCCTGCTGTTATTTCTTCACAGGATGAGTTTATGCAAGACAGAGAGCAGTTGCCTCACCACAGGATGTAGTTGCACATGGCCATGGCATGGGCAGGAGTGCGCTGTGGCTTGTGAATACTTAAAAGCACCCTTCTTCTCCGGGGCATCTGAGCTTTGAGGAGAGCTGAGCCCAGCTAGGTTTCAGCACTGGTTTGCTCATTGCCCGGCAGCCCTGCTTATTAATAAGCTGGAGTCCTGGAAAGACCCCCACCCTGCAAGAAATAAGTCTAAATTCTAAAGTCTTCATTTAAAAGTTTAAATTTTACATTCTGTTAGTTGTTCAGACTTGCGTTTTGATTTGCATTTTTTTTTTCTTATAAAGGACAAGGTTTAATTGCAGTGGCTCACTGACAGCTTAGAGGTGCAGTCCATTGGGTTTGTTTTGAATGAACAAACAAGCAAGCGCTTAGGGCACACACGCCGTATGGTTAGCACTTTGAGAATTAGTTAGTGAGGACTATGAAGTAGACGTAGCTGTGTGTTACTTAGTGAGGAAAACGCCCTAGAAGGCCAGAAAATTTAGTCACTGCTCAGCACCCACTGGTTTTTGAGGCCGAGAAGTTCAAGAACTTAGAATTTGCTGTTTTCATTTTAGTTTCATCTTAACTTAGAGGTTGGCATTGTCAATATATTGTTATTAGTTCTCACTGTGCCTTTTAAATAAATACTTTGAGAGCCATTTTAGGTTTCACGAAAGATGGAGCAGATAAGTCCTTTTGCTAAAATCTCCTGCCCAGTCTTTCCCAGGCAAGGTCCCCCACTTGTCCCATCTGAGCAGTGCCTCTGTTACAGCTGATGGCTTCTAGTGACATGTCGCAGTCTCTGTTTCCATGAGAGTGCACTCTGGGCTTGTGCCCTCTATGGAGGATGGCTGTGAGAAGTATTTAGCACAATGGTGTCACCTGGGGTAGTTTTACAGCTCTCAAAATCTTCTCTCCTCTGCCTAACCATCCCTCTGTCAACTGAGGAAAACTAATGACTTTGCTGTCTCCATAGTTTCATCTTTTCTGGAATGGTGCATCATTGGAAGCATGATGTCTCATCCTTTCATTCATTTCTTTCACTCTATAATAAGTACTTAAGTTACCTCTTTGTTTATGGCTTTCTGTTTTGCATATATTTATTGAAAATTAAATATTTCCAATATTTATTTTTGGAATATTTAGAGAATATTTACAGAAGTTGAATGTAGACTCTCATCTCTCCAAACACACACAGGGGACTAGAGAATTGGCTCATCAGTTAAGAGCACTGGGCCCTTGTGGCAGCTAACAACCATCTATAACTCCAGTTCCAAGGGATCTGACACCCTCTTTTGGTCCCATCAAGCAATACATATGCACTGTGCACAGACATTTGTGCAGGCAAAACACTGTAAGAATTAAAACAAAAATAAAACCAGACACCTCAACACACCGAGTTTTATGTAAGCCTGTATACTTATTCACAGAGTTTCTAGAAGCTGGCCACAGTGAGGCTTTCTGTTTGTAGCTAGATTGTAAAGCCAGGCACCTCTCTGAGAACTTCACACTGAGATCCAAATCACATTAATCCTCAAACAATTTTACGAGGTTTCCTGATGAGGAAACGAAGGAGGGGAAGGGGCTCATCGCTAGCACCAAGTGGAGAGAGGATGGGAACACAGAGAGTGAGCAGTTCCCAGGAGTTAACACGGGCACAGGTTTCAGAGGGGAAAGTCATCTGTGATTGCTTCTTTGGACCACCGGTGACTTTAGAAACACTTTATATCGTTTGTTTAAATTACAGGGCTCTAAATCCCCAGACTTTATAAGCAAGAATGAAGGAACGGGTGGTATGATCAGTGCATGAGTGTGTTTATTTATCGGCAGTCATTTGGTGGGTCTTTCTGCTGTCCCTTCTAACTTTGGTAATCCTTGGATGTTTATGAAGCAGGATATGGACACTTAGGAAAAATCAGGAAACATAGATGGTAGTATTAAGTAATACTCTCTCTCTCTCTCTCTCTCTCTCTCTCTCTCTCTCTCTCTCTCTGTGTGTGTGTGTGTGTGTGTGTGTGGTGTGTTGGATGGAGAAGAGCTAGAGAGAGGGAGAAAGAAAATTAAGTGTATATGAAAAACCTAAATAAACCAAGAGGCATCAGTGAAGAATATAGAATGACATTGTATGTAGGTAAAAGGCAACTCTGAACACTTGAAAAGTGACTGGGCACTTGTTTTATGCAAATAAACATATTGGATCAAAGCCCTAGAACCTTAGTTTTAATTTGGTGATTAACCAAATGAAGTTAACAACAACAACAACAGAACACCCTACATATTGGCACACGTGTACAAATTCGGCACCTGCTGTGTTCCTTCACCTCAGGCACAGAGAACGAAGAGGCCGAAAGAGAGTACCAAAATGACAACCAAGCAAGCTGGGTCCATCGGATGCTGATGGCCTTGGTGAGTGACTCAGCTTTGTTCAATACCCGAGAAGGCCGCGCAGGGAAGGTGCACAACTTCATGCTGGGCTTGAATCTCAACACGTCCTATCCACTGTCTCCCTTGAGAGACCTCACCCCCCAGGATTCCTTCGATGACGACGAACTCGATGCAGCCGTAGCAGGTACGCGCCAAAACGGGAGCCTCGGGGAGCTAGTTTAGCACATCTTGATTCTGTGTTGGGGAGAAGCATCTTAATGCCCCTTAACATTTATTTAGACTCAATTTTAAGAACATTGACTTGCGAGGGACATTCATTTTGTTGTTTTGTTTTTGTTTTATTTTTGAAGAAAAACCCATTGGCTAGGAAATGGCCTAGTCATGTTACTATAGAAAATGTCCTTTGAACTACCACAAACCTTCTTTGTTTTATTGGTCAGGGTTCACTTACAGACAACCGGAAACCTCTACCGTGATAATTACAATGAGTGTAAAGCAGGGAACGGGTTGCTTACAGAATGGTTCCAAGGATTAGAGAAGCAGGCCAGGGCTTCCAGGAGTGACTCCAAAAACACCAGAACCATTCCCCAAACGCCCCCACAACCGTGCCTGGCAGTGGAAAGAGAAGAAACACAGCTATGTGTCATTTCCTCTTTCCTTTCCCGTGGGCGGGCCTCTTTGGAAAAGTCCAGGTCTCCAAGGATGGAGCTTTGAGGATGCCGTGTAGGTGCGCTAGGCCTGGCGCCCCCTTGTGGTGGAGAGGAGCATGCAGCACAGGGGTTGGAATGGACCAGTCTGCCAACGACCATGGGGACAGGGAAACGACACTCCAGTTTTCAGAAAGATTAGGAAACCTGGTGGAGTTGCCCGGGAAGAATCTAGTCACTTTCAGACCTGTCATTAACCAAATGCCCAAGAATAGTAGTCTTTACTCTTCAGTGCTCTGCATCATAGATGGTTACATTTGCTTATGTAATGAATAATATGTAACATCCTTTTCTGTGGTGAGCTTAAATTTTTTTCTCTGTCACACCATCACTTCTCCTTAGTTGTTCAAACGTCATTTCTCAATCATTTCTGTCTTAGGTCATTGCCAAGATGCTGTAAAACTTCAGATATTTGTAACAACACAACCTCCCCAAACTTTCCCATTTCCCTGTGTTCATCATTCCCACAAAATATTTTTGAAGTTACAATGGGTTTCTGATTTTGTTATTGTTTTCTAATTGGTGTGTGACTTTAAGAGGAACAAACACTGCATTTTGTATTGTGTGTATGACCTTGAGCTCTAGGACAGGAGTTACTTTTAATTATGCATTTATAATTCCAGTTATTAGATATACATTAATATATAATTCCAATTATTCTATTTATATTAGCTGTAATAAATGTCTACTTGTGGTAAAGTAAATTCACCTGAACTAAGAAGGTGTTAAAACATTCAATTGGTGGCATTATTTTTCTCCTGCTGTGGCACATGATTGTACTTCTTGACTTCCCTATGGTGTTCGGAAACTTGTGCTTTATCATGACTGCTGATTAGGTTTGAGCATATTATACTCATGGCATTTAGATATATTAAAGAACCTTCAGTGATTTATCAAGGATTATCAAAGAAAAGAATTGTATTATCTTTGTCCCAAACTGCTCAGCAAATCTGAGCTTGAGCCACAGGTCTCTGAGTCCGGCCTCTAAGTCTTCCCCTCTATAAACCATCCCTGTGGTTTTGTTAGTCATTGTTTTGCTGATGTAAGAATGGAAGTTTTCTTGGTGCATACTTTGTTTCATTTCTTTTTCATTATCATTTTGCTAACACAATTCCTCTGGGATTTGAGTAGCACAGATGTTCTAACCAGCTTACCAACTCACTCCACACTTGAAGAACTGAATTCCACACTTTAAGAACGGAATTTGTTCAGCAGTTTTGTAGTATTTAATATGAATTTGTTTGGCAGTATTAGGACTGTAAGACAAAACAAAGAATTGCCAGTTAAATTTTTAATATAAACAATACATTTGTGTGTATACAAATAGCACAAAACATTTACTTCATATCGAGACTGCGTAATCATTTCTTTGCTTATGTGAAATGCAGATTAAAGTTGGTCATCCTGTATTTTTATTAGCCAGATTTGGTGACTGGGGAATTACGCCTTTTTTATTGCTCACCCTGCCTGAACAGTTGTTCAGAATCTTCACCTGGTTTCTTTCCTTCCTTCCTTTCTGCATTCATACAGAGTTTAGAAGCACTCATGATGTTGCTTTGGTCTTCAAGATTCACTAGGCAACATGTTAAATATAATCAGTGCCTTCATGAAGATTAAAAACACCTTAATGGCCTTTTCCCCAAGAGCTGCTTCATGGAAAGATTGTTATATTTTGGCTATAATAACACTAAAAGGAAAGAGAAAATCAGCCATCCTGCTCCTGAGGGTGTTGTAGGTCAATAAAAGTATTGCTGTATAGTGGCCAGGCTGGGATTTTTCCCTAGCCATGAGGTTTGAATTGCTGTGTATATCACCTTGCTGTATTTGTTTCCTCTGAAAAAAAGATTTACTAGCCATTAAAAGAATAAAAAGAACATAAGGAACTATATATCAATCTTCCTAAAATATACATCATATACACTAAATATTTGTCTTTGAGATTTGTTTTTAGAGATTTTAATTTTTTATTATTTATTTGTGTGTAGGTATGTGTGTCTGTATATGTGCCCAAGGAGGTGAGAGAGGTGTCAGCTCCTTGAAGCTGGAGCTCCAGTTGTGAATTTCCTGGTGTGGGTGCTGGGAACAAAACTTGGGTCCTTTGCAAGAACAATATGCTCTAACCTAAAGTTGTTTCATGTTAATGATTTTGGGGAAAAGGTTTATTTTTAAATCACAGTAAACATTATATTAAAATGATTTTTTACATACTTCATGTTTACTCGAATGAAATAGTTAGTGAAAAGTTCCAATCATTTCGATAACAAATTCATGCACATTTACTGTTTAGATACAACCATTGTTAAACACAATTGCATATTAGACTGAATTAACTAAGTTTATTAGTGCTTTTCTGGATGGGAGCTTTACAAAGATAAATTCTATCTCCTTCTAGTAGTTTACAAGTTCTAAAAAAAAAATCCTGTGTTTAATGTGGAAGTCAAAAGGTTTATCACAAACCATGATTATTTCTTTCAAAAGATTTTAATAAAATTCTTATTTATGGGCAGATGAGATGGTTCAGGCCTAAAGGCACTTACTGTCTTGTCTGACAACCTAATTAAACCCCCAAGACCCACATGATAGAGAGAACCAACTCCCTCAAGGTTGTCCTTAACCTCCATATGTGGGCCATGGCATATGCATGACCTCTTCTCCCCCACATAAAGAAGTAACTATAATAAACAGTAAAACAAAACCCCAAAGAACCTTATGCATTGTACAACTGAACTGCCACAATTAAGATAATGATTATGACTATACCCCTTTTAATTGTACATGTCCTCCATGCAAAAGAAGAAAAGGTAAAGGCTTTTGTCCAGTCTACATGTTAATGTTGGGGGAAGCTTATATTTTACTCTATGGCAATTCTGCTCATACACATTAAAATTTGAGTGTCTTAAATAGTCAGAAATGAGAAAAAGTGAAGTATGTTGTACCTATGACTTCAGCTTTCAGTTATTTGAAACAAGATAAATTATAAAATAATAAAAATCCCATTAATAGGTTACTGTAACATAGTTAAATGTCTGTAGAAACAAATTTTAGAGGAGGTATTCATTAGTCACATGACTTCTTTCCTGTTTACTTTGTGTTTCTAGTGTTTACTGTGACACACTATCTGGAACGAGAAGTTGACATGAGTTAATTCAGGCCAGAGTTCAGAACACAGATATCCAAATATTTGTCTGGTCTAAATTGAATCTGTGTGCTGGATTCCTCCGATAAAACTGAACTCTTTAAGCCAGTGGTTCTCAACCTACGGGTCACAACTCCTTTGGGGGTTGAATGACCCTTCCATGGGGTCACCTATCAGCTTTTCTACACATCAGATATTTACATTATGATTCATAACAGTAGCAAAATTATAGTTATACAATAGCAACGAAAATAATTTTATGGTTGGAGGTCACGACCACATGAAAACTGTTTTAAAGGGTCGCATCATTAGGAAGGTTTAAGGAGCCGTTACAGGCTTATAACACAGTATTGTTTGTACACTTACCAGAGAACCAGATTAACTCACTCACAGGCTTGGGGAGTTGGCGTGCTTTCAATCATGGGAGGATGTTTGCCCATTGTAGTGTGAGACAAACTTTCTACATTTCAGTAGATGTCACATGATAAGTTGGTCCTAAAATATGCCTTCAAAATCTGACACCTCTCCCTCATAACATGCTGAGATAGCCTACTGCGTTTAAGTGTTACTCTGAGGGCTCAAAGACATATTTTCAAAACAGATTGACATCTGAAACTCAGCCAGGCCTTTTATTAGTTGGGTATCTTGAACAATTAGATTGTATATTCCATATTTTGCTGTAAAATAGAAAAGAATGGTAGCTATTGGAAAGCTGCATGATGGGATTAAGTGGCCATTCACACAAACTGCTGTTACTCTCAGGCATGGTAAGTAGAATAGGAACGTGCTGTCTACTTGGTAGTTACTGTAGATGTTCAATCCTGACTTTCTTAAATCTGTTTGAACATGGAAGTCTTAATTTGTGTATGGGACAGGTACTGATATTTCACAAACTTATATGGATGGCTACACAATAAAAACTCAGTTTATCTGGAGCCAGGACAGTGGTGTTCAGCCTCATGCCAGTTTGGAACTCATCCACATCTGAGCATCCCCTCAAAGGCCATCTTGGGCTTAAGAAAGGAAAGGCAGAGACAGCTAGTTTCCTGATCTGTTTTGATGAATCTCTTAGCTAAAATTAAAAGAGAAAACCCTGGGTTTGCAAAGCCAAAGGAAACACCTTATGAATTCTTGTGCTTTATTGTATTAGAAAAAAATCACCACATTTAAACAAATGTTATCATTAAAAAATTTTAATGTCAGTGTGTTTAATCATGATCAAATGTTATTGTTGTGTTTTCATAGAGCTAGAAGGTATTCATGGGTCATTTCTATGCATTGTAGTGGCTGCTTTCTTGAGCTGTTCATTTCAAATGCTGTTGGTGTTTTTGGTTGTATGCCTTAGTTTTGACTTCAATATTGTCAGTTCTTCAGGGTAGGTGTTCAGAAACTATTAAATAGACAATTTGAGAAACGAAGGGGTGTTTTTCAAGTTCTAAACTCCTTTGGTTAGGTGGTTCTGTGTTGTTATTCTTGTTCTGGATTAAGAATGCCTTCTCAGAATTGTCTCCCCTGATCCTGGGAACACATAGATGCTCACTCTTCACGATGTTGTCTTCTGTTCCTTCTGCCACAGCGATCCTCGCCGCACTGGCTTGTCAGTGCATTTACTTACTTGGCGGTAGAGTCATAGTATCTATTATAGTTTACTTGGCTTGTTCAGGGCCCAGAATTGTGCCTGAATGGGGCCACCCAACTCACGCTTATGGGGTGTGAGGTTTGGTCTTCCATCTTGGATGCTCATCCCTTAGTGTAATGGACACTCAGCCCAGAGAGAGGCAGATGAATCTGTTCGGACTCCGGCTCTTCCCAGTTGTTTCATTTTCTAGATGACTTGTAGTTCGTTTCACCCGCCATTTCTAAATGTCCTCTCCTTTGCTTCTCTTCTGTAAACATTAGACAAGATGATGTGTGAAGAAACGTTTTCATATCAGTAAAGACCCCGTGATGGGGGATAATGGTACTAAAGACATTGTGGCTGGTGTCGATACTAGGGCCTGAACTAGTTCTTCTTCCCTTGGCATCTTGCTTGATAATTGTTCTTGTTCTGGTACCACAGATAAAGAACTAAGACTTAAAGTTATTAATTTAGCTACACTTGCCAGAGTTAAATCCACACCGGATTCTAACAAAACTAGGGGGCCCAAACCACATGGACTTCTGTCTCTCAAATTTATAATAAACATTTATGATTCTAAACTAAGGGCAGATGACTATTTCATTTATTCTTGTCTTGCCTTTGCATTTTAAAGATCCGGATGAATTTGAACGAATATATGAACCACTAGATGTCAAAAGTAAAAAGATTCATGTTGTAGACAGCGGGCTCACTTTTAACCTGCCGTATCCCTTGATTCTACGACCTCAGAGAGGTGTGGATCTCATCATCTCCTTTGACTTCTCTGCAAGGCCAAGTGACACAAGCCCTCCTTTCAAGGTAAGGAGACTTTGGTAAGGAGAATAGGAACATGCCCAAGGAAGGGTACAGCCTAGAGTGGGCTGGGTCTCCTTATATCCATTAAGAATCAAGACAATGCCCCTATGCCAATCTGATCTGGACAATCACTCAATTAATACTCCCTTCTTGGGTGACTCTAGGCTGTGTCAAATTGACAGTTCAAGCTGATTGTGGCAAGCACTGAGAGCTTCTAGAACAAGAAGTGGATATAATCATATGTCTTAAATATCTGTAAAACCTCACATGTTCAAAATGTGTTAATATTTTATTTCTTTTGAGGCTGTTAGTAGTGTTCAGACAAGAAACCAAGAGTTGGTGTGATAAAACCGAATTATGTACATCGTGGAAGATCAGTATGAAAGTGTGTTGGTGCATCCCGGAGCCAGTGAACAGGGAAATAAGTGACTGGGATGCAAACCGCACAGAAATAGCAGTGAGCACACTGGAAAGATGGGGTGTTCTGACTATAACAGACAGATGTTAAGCCTGTTAAGAGGGCTCTGGGGAAAAATTTTGAGTTTGGAAGGTAGGAAATGGAGATTGGTGGAGGATTTCCAGCAGACTAATGATATCATGAAATTGGAATCTTAGGATGATTAACCTGAGTTGGTGGGTGGAAGGCAAAAGGTTAAAACTATGACTTATTGTAACCCCAGCATAGGATAATAAAATCTTGTACTGTGCAAGCCACGGGGTAGAACCTGGTGACCTGTGAGGAGCAAGGAGGAGGTAGGTTCCAGTGATGACTCCAAGGAGGTGGTGCTGACGGTGGAAGACACGGTAGTATTCATTTAGCCAATGGGAGTGCAAAATGTCAAAGCCATAATTTCATATGAGTCAGAACTTGACTACTGGATGAGAGGATACTACCAAGGAGTTTTAGGATACCACTTAGTAACACAAATAAAAGGCATTATATTTTGCAATATATAATGTTTCATTGTTTATTATTAAGAAGAATATATACTTAGATGATATATGAACAATTAGAATGTATACCAACTTATATACCAACTACTTCTGGATGCTGCTGGTATTTTTCCCCAATCTGTTTTAGAGAGAGAGAGAGAGAGAGAGAGAGAGAGAGAGAGAGAGAGAGAGAGAGAGAAAGAGAGAGAGAGAGAGAGAGAGGTGTGGTGCACTCAGATGAATGTGCAATGCACACACCCCTTACGTGAAGGCAAGAGCAGGATGTGAGTTATCTCTCTCCACCTTATTCCTTTGAGACAGAGCTTCCAACTGAACCAGAAGCACACACTCTTTGCTAGGCTGGATGGTCATCTAGCTCTCAGGGCCTGCTTGTCTCCATTCCCCAATGCTGGTGACACAAGCATTTGCAGCCATGCCCGGATTTTTACATAGGCGCTGGAGAATGAAACCAGGTCATTGTGCTTGCAAACCAGGGAGCCATCTCCCTAGCCCCCAATTTCTGTTTTTAAAAATGTGTGTGTGTGCGTGTGTGTGTGTGTGTGTGTGTGTGTGTGTGTGAAGTATGTGGGCTTATGTGTGGAAGTCAGACCAAAAGGAAAAAGAAGGTGGCAGTAGGGTGCATGTGGAGGTGACATCGATGTAACAAAGGTCTGAGTGGGCTGTACATCACAAGTGTCTTCAGTACATTTGTCTCCCTATAGGCGGTTCTGGGGGAACCACAGACAAACTAATCGGTGTTTTTCCACATTAGCCTTATTTATCAGTTGTAATTTGGTCTTGCTCTTGGTTTAGAACTCCCATGCCCACATGATTACTTCTTACATTGGGTCACATCATGACCAAATCAGTTGAAGTGCTGGTACTGACTGGACCCTATTCTGCTATGCCTAGTGAGGGAAACTACCCACACAAGGCAGTCCAAGTGACAGATCTGTAGACATCAGTGCACTATAGCTAATGAGGTGACCTGCAGAGACACATTAGCCTGGGTGAGCTTTGTGAATGCCAGTCCACCCTGCCCAAGGAAGACTGCACAGCATAGACTCCGGTACCTGCAGGTTTACTTCTCACACTGCTTTCTCAAGAGTTGCTATTAAAAAGTGACATCCTATATAAAATTACGGAAAAGTGTTTTGTCTCAGTTTTGGGGCTAGCAGTTGAACAGGGTTTGAGCAGGGCTGTATTTGATATTAGGATTTGTCATAGAACTCTGTGGCCTTTTGCAGATTCCAGTGCATCTGGTAATTCCTTAGCAAGCAGTTAGGTCACCTTGGTCTATACCTCAGTGGTTTTTTTGTTGTTGTTCTTGTTTGAGACAGGGTTTCTCTGTGTAGTTCTGGCTGTTCTGGAACTCACTCTAAAGGCCAGGCTGGCCTTGAACTCACAGAGATCTGCCTGTCTCTGCCTTTCAAGTGCTGGGGTTAAAGGCGTGCGCCACCATGTCCAGGCAATCTACCTCAGTTTTTATCTGGCCTTTTCATTTATGTCTCTCTTTGTCTCTTGTTAGCAAAACTGTCATAGCACTTACCCCTTACCCCATAATCAAGGCTGATCACAGCTCAAGATCCTTAGTCATATTGTGAAGAGCCTTCTTCTGAGCCACTGGGGTGATTCAGCAGGAAAAGCTTTTATTGCACAAACTTGACAAGCTGGGTTCTAGCCGTAGATCCCAGAATGAAAGGAAAATAGTGACTTCAGAAAGTTGTCGTCTGACCTACACACACACACACACACACACACACACACACCCCAAAACAAACAACAAAATAGCAAACAAACAAGCCACTACCAATAATAATAACAACAGTGATTTTTTTTTTTTTTTTTTTTTTTTTTGGTTTTTCGAGACAGGGTTTCTCTGCGTAGCTTTGCGCCTTTCCTGGAGCTCACTTGGTAGCCCAGGCTGGCCTCGAACTCACGGAGATCCGCCTGGCTCTGCCTCCCGAGTGCTGGGATTAAAGGCGTGCGCCACCACCGCCCGGCGTGATCATTTTTTTAAAGCACCCTTTTCTTTACTAAGATCACATTCACAGTAGGGGGTTAGCTAGGATGTGGGTTTCTTCTGTTAGGGCCACCATCCAACCTACCACACTCATTTCAGTCACTGAGTATCAGATGCCTTCTTATGAGCACCCATATCTAATATTGATCTCTTCAGGGATGCTTTTGCAAGTATGTACACAGCTTTTAATGGAGAGCTAACTGCTTCAAGTGTTACACAAGCTCTGTCTCTAGACTTGCTGCTCTATGAGGCTCCTGAAGACAACAATAGCAAACTCTCCAGAAGAGACAGTCATCATAACTACAAATACTGAATTCTAAGGGGTAGTCCTGTCAGTCCCATCTTAGATTAGTGGCTTTGGTATTTTAATCATTATATTGTTTTAATTATTACATTATTTGCTTACTAATAGGCCATCTATCTCCCCAGTCTTAAAAGTAAGTTTTAAATAATGAAAAATTTTAGGGCAGTAGGTTTACATAGAGATGAAAATCCCATTTTTTATAGTGAAAAACCAACTTATTATTTATGTATATGTATTTATAAAGGGAAATATATTGTGTGTCTAAATTAATTAATTAGCATGTGTAAGCCCTTCTCACTGTGGCACTGTGGTCTGGATATATTTCTGTTAAATTGTTTTAAGTTGATACTTTTTTTTTTAGTTAGGGTTTAGTACTCAAAAGTGAGCATAGGTGTTTTTTGAAAGTATCACTTTGAATGAGGGTCTCTAATTCTTTACTGTATAGAGAGCTGTGTTTGTAGTTAGTACTATGTAAGCTTACAGTACATTAGTGCTGGAAACCGTGAAGCATCTTGGGGCATCAGGCAGCAGCTGATAGATGTTACTGCCTGGCACGCTGCTGGTGTACCGCCGTCATGTCAGAATTAGGCCTTCTTTGCTCACTAAAACATTGTTTTGATTTTAATTCCTTCCTTTTTGGGGCTCTCCACACGCACGTCTGTGTCATTGTCTCTCAGTCTTTCTGGAGGGAGAGGAGACAGCCGGAAGCAGACATTTTTTCCATCCTGTAATCACGGTCTTTGCAGTCAGCACCGTTTAATCTTTTCCACATCAGGATGAGAGCAGAAAAGGGAAAGTTCCCGTCACTTCCTGATTCCAGGATAACCCTGTCCAGCTAAAAATAGCCAGGCCTCTACCTCCACGAGCTCCCTTTCCCTCTTTCTCCACACAGCCACACACGGGTTGCTCATCCCCTGACTCATGTTTGTAAACACTAGAAAGCTGCTTTGCTTTGCCCTCACGCAAGCAACCGCCTTACTGTATGAGCTCTGGTCGGACTGTGGTGTTGAGTCAAGACGAATGAGTAATCGTGGAGAGTGCTCGACGTGAAATACCAAGAGGAGGTCAGCTGAACGGGGCGGGGGCGGGGAGGAAAGGGGAATGAGAAGAGTGTCCTCCAACTTCAAACGAGATGTTTTACATCTGTTCGATTTTTAGCAAAGCATAATCATATTCTGCAAAACGTCCCGTGAAACAGCTGCTTTTGTATCTGTTGAATCCCTTTTCTTTCAGGTTTTATATCTTTGTAATCTTTGGGAGAACTGATCGACTTGAAGTTCATGACTTTATTTTTTTTTCTTTAGTTTGCTAGAATATTTAGGGTTTTATTGCTTATTTTTTGAGATTATAGTGTAATTAAATCCTTTCCCCTTCCCTGTCTTCCCTCCAAGGCCTCCCATATGTCCCTCCTTGCTTTCTTCTGAGGTTGAGGGAAAAGACCACAAGGCCTCAACACTACATAAAGAACTACAGACAATTAAGGAATGCTGGGAGCAGGAGAAATAGTCTTCCCCGGGGAAGAGCACACCAATTGGTTACCCAATACCAGTCATCATCCCTGAAAACCTGCATATAAGTAGAGTTATACACACTGAGCAGGGTGTACTTAGGAATATATATATATATATATATATATATATATATATATATGCATGTAAAGTTTATGACTTTTCTAAAATACCAAGAGCAGTGAAATTTGTATGTCCTCTGTATTTAGGGTTATAGGTTAAAGTGCTTGCTTACTGTCCACCTAAGATTTTCATACCTCAACCTCTAACCTTCACAGCAGCCCCGTGAAGAGGAGAGTAGTGATTACTTTTATTTTGCAGAGGTGGAAAGTATATTACTGAGAAATAGGAAGCAGATGAGATATAGGTGAGATGTATTCAGGGGCTGGTTAATTCAGGGATGGCATACACTCTAGTCCTCATGCTATCTTGTCTCTCAAAGTCCCCACAGTGACTTTAGTGGTGCCACGTGGTGTATTTTAGGTCCCCCTCACATGACTGGTGCCTGGTGGCTGTAGTATCTAGGCAGTTGGTCTTGGAAAGTAGCCCATGCCGATTTAAGCTGGGCCTGTTAACAACCCAGGTACATGGCCGTCCTCAGTCTTCCCTTCCCTCCCAAACTGTTCAACTACTCTTAGTTGGTTTTTCCCATTGACTTAAAGGCATCAAAGCTTCAAATGCAGATCCTGTCTTATGAGTAGCACACAGTGAAAGGCTCAATAGTATTGATGGTGTGAATTACAAATATGCCAAGGAAGCAGTCTAGGCTTCTGAAAATATGTGCCTTTTCCCTAGCATCGATGACAGTTTTCAGTATGAAACGTCACTTGATGACTGCCCCTTACCTGTCAGAGTCTCGATGCTCTAGTGTTGATAGCCATTTAACTGCACTCATTGAAGGTCAGCCGGGAATGATTACCATTGACTAAATCAGTATGACAAGAGTAGTTTTTAAAGAAGGATAGTTTTAGTGGTTTGCTCAAAACTTTGTCTCTTTAGGAATCTCTCTAAAATGGTTCCTGCTTTTCTTCCTTTCTTTTCCTTTTGTTTTCTTCACTTTTTCTTCTCTGGATCCTTATTTATTGATTGGATATCTGTATAGCACTTACTGTGTGATAGATGTTGGTCTAAGTACTGTAAAATGGTAATTCATTTCATTCAGATTGCACTCTGTGTTTCACAGTTAAGAATATTAAGCTCAGAAACAGTCCCAAGGCTACAGAACTGACATTTGGATGCAGGCATTGGGCCCAGTCTGTGGTTTTACACCATGGTGCTATATAACCACTTATTTATTCTGGCCCCTGACACTGCATAGAAAAAGAAATGATGTCTGTCTTTTCCTGACAACCTTCCACATTGATTTCCACAGGTTAAATATAGCATGGGTATGCGTGCGTGCGTGCGTGCATGCATGCGTGCGTGCATGAGTGTGTGTGTATTATGTATATATATATGATATGTATGTGTGTGTATACACACACACACACACACATATATATACATATATATATGCTCATGTTGGATTTATTCATGTGAAAATGTGATGTACATGCACATATATGTACCTGTGTGTGGAGGTCAGAAGTGGATATTAGATGCCTTCCTCAATTGCTCTCCACCTTATTGTTTGGGATGGGATTTCTCAGTGAACTCAGAACTCATTGATTTGATGCATTGAGGCCTGAAGTTCTATTTTCTTTTCATAATTAGGAGCCAAAAAAGCCAATTTACATATATAAATTTAGTTTTAAAAATATGCATAATTTTATTATAGATTTTAAAAAGAAAACAAAATGAAACATCCTTAAAATAAACCAACTTACTAGTAATACAGAATGCTATGAAGTGTGCTATGCTATCATACATACATCTAGGAGTATTCAACATCAGAAGCTATAAAATCTAACTGCATGTAGTAGTTACTAAAAAACCTATAACTTGCATTTTTTTAAAAAGTAGTTTCTCTACAAAGAATCTTACCAGTGATACAAGAATCTGTACCATGTTGATACTGAAGTTAATGGTGATTTTCTCTTAAATTTCACATTCTTAGCAAAAGAATTTAATTGATATGGTTTTTTTGCACCTTGATGGAGATAACAGGTATAAAACCCAGTAACAGGTTGTCTTAGTTAGGGTTTCCACTGCTATGTCTTAGCAACGGCTGGAAGATAACACCTAATGAATATAAAATAATGGACAGACTGACTGACCAACTAAAAACTGAACATTTCTAAAAGCATCATTCTCCTCCATGTAGGAACTTCTACTCGCAGAGAAGTGGGCTAGAATGAACAAGCTCCCCTTCCCAAAGATTGACCCTTACGTGTTTGATCGGGAAGGATTGAAGGAGTGCTATGTTTTTAAACCCAAGAATCCCGACGTGGAGAACGATTGCCCTACCATTATCCACTTCGTTCTGGCCAACATCAACTTCAGAAAGTACAAGGCCCCAGGTATGCCTCCATGAAATGGAAGTCTGGCTGGCGACGTGACTGATATTGAGCTGTTTTACACTCATGCTGTCCCATGAGTGAGGACTACATGGAGTGATTCTCTTACTGTGACAAATAGTCAGTTGTGACCTGAGAGTCCAAGTACTTCCTTCTTCTTTACCCCAAGATTTTCACTTCCTCATGATAGAGAAAGTGAAATATGAAGGTCAAGCTCAGGCAACATTGCTAGGGCATTGAACCGGAGCCTCGGGTTTGATGGATGTCCTATTCATAAAGGATGTTAAATAGTGTGACTTTCACCGTTGTGAAACAGCTCTTGTTTTTAAAATAAAATCATGCGAGAATATTAATTGACCACAAAACTTAATGTAATCTAACAAAGTGACATGGCCGACCATTTGGGGCTTCCACATTATAATTTAAAGCAAAGGAGAATCTAGTTCAAGGAATGGTTATTCTGTTTTACCATATCTGGAGGAGTGGGTGGACTTGTGTGCATCCTAAAAGATACCCATTAACCAAAGAAGGATGCTTAGGGGCATTAAATGCTAAATAGTTTTCAGAACGGAAGATGCAGTTTTCTATTTTGTGAATGGAAAGAGACAAAAAAGATGAATGAGGTGATACAGGGAAGAAGTCTTCTTCCTAGGTTTCTCAGAATGATAAAACAAATTAATAAGGGTGGAGCTGCGAGGCATGCCTCATACAGGAGAAGGAAGGCCGGCTGGCATTTTTCGTTTTCAAATGGAAACCTTAGTTTCAAATTGAAATCCTGGTTTCAAACTTTAAGCAACCTAGTGAATTTTCTATTACTGTTAGTTCTCAGGGGGAAACCAAGGGGTTGGTAAGTACAGGGATTTCTGGGGCTTGAAGAGGAGTCAATGTTTTGGTTTGGATTTCCCCAGAGGAAGATTCTCAGGACAAGATTCAAGTGCAAATGGTTTATTTGTAAGGGAGTGAGGAAGTGATACTGGGCAAGGGACAGACTACAAAGCATATGCTAGTACACTAGCTACCCCATGAGGGCCATGACCCATCTGGGCAAGTGGGAGGCAGAACACCCAGACTACAGAGTGTAGGCTAGCAGGCGAGGGAGCTGGGTATCTTCCCAACTTGAGTGTGGCTGATTGGGGCAGATAGTTATTTTTTAGAATCATAGCCTTTCTGGTGACTCTCAGTGATGTCTTCATGGTTGCATGTATGTTTTGGAGTTATTTATTTATTTGTTTAATTTTCGAATGCAAGATTCATGCTCCTTTTTTTTTT